TTTAAATGCGATTTGTCAATCAAATCGTATTTTTTTTGCGCCATGGAAGAGTGGTAAATTTGCGTACGCGTGCAAACGCATTTTTCACGCCAGCCATATGTCCAAGGTCGCCGGAAACGTATTTTTCCGGGGCAGAGTTGGGGACGAGCCCGGAAGCGAGCTGAGAACGATGTTTGCTTTTGTCCTGTCCTTCGGTCCTTGTCGTCCAGCTAGCAAGCTGGCAGTCTGGGTTGGTCGGAGTGTTTACGTCTAGTTTTGGTTTGCAGGACAGCGCTGGGGACATAGGCTGTCCGAAGCAGCCAGACAAACAAATGTGACCCAAAATCCTATGCAAAAACATCATTGCTCGCTGCAGTCAAAGTACGCTTCAAGATTCAATACCAAAAACGAGCGTTGGGGCTGCTGCCCCACCTGATGTCTATAGAGAACACTTGAAAAGCCTTGGCCTTTGATTGTGCTTAGTGGCGTGCCCACAAGGCGAACAATTAGGAAGTTGTGATACTTGCAAGCTTTCTATTTTTGCAAAGTGTTCCAGGGCTGCGTTCCCACGTGGGGACTGGCCCCCAAGGTGCATTTTGGATCCTATTTCTTGAGCCATGGGAAGTGAACAAATAATTCCCAACAGAGCTACAGAGCCTACCTAGGTTAGGCAATCTCAACTGTATACATTGACCCCTGAAATCAATCATAATCAATCCCAATATTGAGCTTGTATAACCCTGAAACTCTGAAACCACCCTATTCTGCAGCTGGTAGGTGTTGCAATCAATGGCGAAACTCATGGGTCTGGGTTTTGCATCTCACAAGTTTCAAGAAATACGGATCACGGGCTCTGGCTGTTCATCAAGTGAGTCTAACATCGTCTAAAATGAACATATTAGATCATATTAGTCACGGCAAAAAAAACACAACAAGCAAAACCTCACAGTGCGTCGGAGAGTACACTTTTTTAAAAACATCACGGTTACGTGGATGGCGCCACCTGTGAAACACAGGTCTTCGGATTTCATGGTCCTTTTTTTTCTGTGCCATCTACGTCACCGGACGATTTCAGGCAGGGACACAGGCAGTTCCATAGAAGCCAAGAGAGGTTGAACAGCCTTAGGGCGCCCACACCATATGTACCACTCCAGGGTCTTAGTTCAGGTCTCTCAACCTCTCTTGGAGATCTAGAAGTTGGGCGTTTTTGCATCCGATCCTGGTCGCCGTGGATGTTGGGAACGGCGCCCTGTTCTCCGCTCACATGGTGAAGTATGAAGCATGCTCCCCAGTCGTTTCATGTCGCTTCACAAAAGGACCAAGAATGGAAGATGGAGGTGCGGCGCCGGAAGACGTGGCCCGGGTCAGCGGGAACTTCCGAACATGCTTAAGACCTACCCAGTCAGTGGATATAGTCTTTAGCCGAACTGGTTTCCCCACTAAGCAAGAACAGATGTGAATGGTCAACTTACCATAAGACCCCAGAACCTTAAAAAAAGACAGTTCTAAAAAATAAACGATGTTTCTTGAGGAAAAACGGTTTTCTTGATTTTGTGCATTTTGAGGGCATGCTGTCTGAAGTACATGGCCAGGCAAACGCACACATCATCCCCTTTTTATTCCTCTCAACTTTGCTATTCATATCTTGATGTGCCCACCTTCCTCCAAACATGGGAACTTGTCATTATAGACATCTTAGACATGGCACCAAGCAAAGCTACTTCAGAGTCCTGCGATCCTTTCTGATTTCTGAAGGAGCGATGCCAGGTTTCAGATGAACACATGTGCCGAAAGAAAGAACAACTGTGTGTTTGTGGTCTGAAAGCAGTCTACAAAAAGCATGTTTCTTTTTCCTTTCACCCCCAGAAACTGAAGTGCTTCAAGATCAATCCGAATTGGCACGTTGCCGGCATCACATGGGAGTGATCAATTCTCCTCATGGACACCTTCAAATGGCATACTCCGGAACCCATAATTTTTTACGGGTTCCCTACGGGTTACTACGGGTTTTTTACGGGTTCCCCACGGGTTAGGAAAAACGTATTTTTTTTTAAACATGGTTTCTCCAGTATGACCCACGGGTATAGACGGGTTCCCCACGCTTATAGACGGGTTCTCCACGGGAACCTGAAATTTGGATGGTTGGGGGGGGTTTCTTGTCATTAAAGTCCGTTCGACAACCTGCGGAAAACACAAGATGTTTGGAGACCTATTTTTTTTGAGAGTGTTACTTTCAAGACATTGATACCCAAATCACACGCTGAAGGGCACAATCTACAATCTGGGCTTTGTGTTCGAATGGGCACCAACCAACTGCCTCAACACGGATTTGCTACCCTACCCCCTCATTCTTTACAAGTGGTCCATGCGCGGGCACTGCTCAAAAGGACATGTTCAACAAGAAGACTCAAGTTCAGGAGGGTTTGGGGGTGACACCGGCCCATGCTGGTGGTATAAAATAGTCCATGAGCCAAACAAGTCTGAGATCAAGAACAACATAAGCCATGGCAAGCCATTCTTCTTCACGAATCAGCTCCCATTTGGAGGTGTTTCGGGGAAAAACGAGTTTTTCCAGGATAAACAATTTTTACTGCCAATGCCACTGGAGAAGCGATGTTTCGCTCCAGACATGACAAATAAGTAGTGTTTCGGGTCTATAGGTATGTTAACCTAATTTATGTTCGGAATAAGTATGTCACACAGCCTGCCAGGTCAAGAACACCTTCATCAACCTTTCCGAGTCGAAGGTAGATGCAACTCGGCGCCCAACGGACGATACCTTTCGAAAGATATTATACCTAGATCTTCCATTGTAGCACATATTTGTGCTCGTTTTTTTTGGTGATCGTTTTTGCTAGATTTGCTCGTTTGAATATGCATTTAAAAAACATATACGTTAAAAACCCTTTGGTTCCTTAGATTTGGTATATTTGGTCAACATGAGCCATGCATCTATAGCACATGTATGCACAAACCCACTTGCACACACACCGACAAACACTACTTTCTCCTCTCCACCTTCGCACGAGATCATCTTCGATCTGTCTGGATCAGCTACTTGACCGCACAGGCGCCAGTTGTTCAAGCGCCCTTTTCCATTCAACATGGTAAGCCACAAGGCACCGGTTTATTGTTGAATGGGCCAAATGACTAGAGTGAACCCGCCTCTCAACCCGAGCCACGCGCCCTATGTAATCTTCGTCTGACCACGTGGCCAGGCCTCAACAAAACAAAAAAGATCTTGCTTATTGATTTCTATCACTCACTATGCATGTGAGCTGGGGCATAGACTTGCTGGATTCAGAATATGCGCCGCTTGGCGCCCAAGTTGGTATTCCATGTCACGACTCAGTTGCCAAGCGCAAGTGTGAGCATGAATGCTTAAAAGAACAACACCCTCAGAAGGTTCAGGCATGGCACATGAGGTGACAGATCATATGCGCCTTTGGACGCAAATACCACAGATTCCAACCATTAATTGCACTTAGTCTGGCACAACCCCCGTAGCTCTCCTTGGGACACTACACACGTACCGCATGTATGGAACGTGCTTGTCCACGCATTCTCTTAATTAAGAACAAACAGCCACCAGTGGAACAACTAGTTAGTGCAAAGCAGTGGCCATCATTTGCCACCCATTCACAACTGCTTCACTGGCTTCGGGTGCACTGAGCCACAGCTTTCCGTTATATATCGAGTGGAAAAACTTGTTTGCTGAAGACATCCCCCAGGTCAGGACCTTCAGGATATCTCGGCAATTCTCCTCAGGTGTCACGTGACGGGTTTGGGTTCCAGGCTGCTAGACTTTCAATGTTGACTTTTAGAAACTTAGAAACCATTTCCTATGCATAGGATGCTGCAACTGGGACAAGTATCTGGGACACTGTCAGGGGAGATAGTGGGCAGCAACTCCGCAAGCCACTTTCCCAGCAAAGAGGCATCGAAACCCTTGCCGAGGCCTTTGGGGAACATCTTCAACCTGATAAGCGTTGGAAAGACCGTGCATATTATAAGCTACTTGGCTAAAGCAAGTGATTCAACAGCTGTTCTAGGTTCCAACATATTCTCATAAAATCGAGGGACGACTTCACCTTATGGTTTGGTAGGAGAAGTCCGTCAGTGAGGTTGTTTTACCATTACGGACGCAGTAGGCCTTGAAACTATCAAATGCACGGTCAAGTTGAGTTGCAATCACGGCGGCGCCCCAGTACTGGCAATGGATTGCCAAAAAACATATTGCGGAGGCACAGTCATCCTTGCCGTAGCCTTGTATGGCATGAGTGTGTGCCACATCTATCAAAATCTTTTTGACGGTATCCCCTTGAGGGATCTTGCGTAGAGGGCTCACAATTCCTACTTTGAAGGGGCTGGGAGTTCTGCAATCCTCCGGCAATGTCCTGATAGCTGATCTATTGGATAGGTCCCACCATTCCTGGGCGTGCATGGCATTGCATGAGTTTTGGGGTGAGTTGCTCTCATGGATCCATTTGCAAGGCTACAGCAAAGGCACAGGAATTGCACACCTATGGCACTTCCTCTTCGAGGTAAATCCTGTGGATAGCTTATACGCGGATCGGAGCCACGGCCAGTCCCCCTTGGTTCCCAAAAACTGGAACCAAAACCTCTCAGTGATGCCATTGTACTTGACCTGGCGGCTGGCACAAAGCATGGCATATGTGTGGCAGGGGAGTTGATACATCGTAAACAAAAGCATGTGCTGATAAGGGGCTTCTATTCCATTTGCATGTAGGGCAGTGACATCTTGGACAAGGCTTTCCAGTAGGCCGTCGAGAGTAGCCCCCTTGGGGGCGTAACGTTCCGATGGTAGGATTGTGTAGAGCAGTCTCGTAGTAAAGGTGTGCCTAAGAAGCTGTGCAAAAGTGAACAGGCATGTGATTGGTATGGGGCCCGCATACTATAAACAGCACATAGGTCAAAATGGTAAGGCTAGCTGTGACTGACCGAGGTTCTTCTTCGAGTTGATGTGTTCCTCACCCATCCAGCCTATTACCGGTTGAAAACTGCAGATCAATACTGGACGCTTGCATTGGCCCCGGCCTTCGTCACCATGCAACATCCATGGTATTGTTCTACTTGGCTCAGCAACATCCACATCTTGTACGTGTTGGTACCGCTGCCAAAACCTTTCTAGCATGTTGTGTATATCCTTCAAGTTGTCATTGGTCAGCGTGTGCCCCCCGAGTAGGAACATACCACCATAGTGCTCAAAGCATGCCTTGACCCAATCCGAAAGCTGCAAAACCGGCCAAGGCTTCTGAAGCACCTTCCGGCTGGCAATTTTGACAGGCACCACCACTGCTTTGATGTCGATTGGGATGGTGTGGCCTTTGCGGGAAATGAGCCGGTACAAGTTGCGACTTGCATTCTTCTGATACGTCTTGGAGCGCCCAAGGGCTGCTGTACTAGCAATCTCTTGATCATATATTCCTTAGCTTTTTACGATCTGCAAATCACCACTCTAGAATGCATTCCATGAATTCCATAAAAATACTGATCGATGATCGATGAGAGATTCCGTGCCGGGCCAACAGCTTTCCAGTTTTGCGAGCTCGTCCACAAACATCGATAGCAGATGCCTGGCCCACAATAAATTGCTCCAACTATACCCCCAACCACGGTACAATCGTACGAATGGTCGTGCATGCACAGCCGGAAACATGTGATGAGGCACCCCTTTGGCAAAGCTCCTGAACAGGTCTTTGTCCACTTCGTCGGAGCTTTGGTCGGATCCAGAACCTGAGGGTGTTCGCAGGTAGGAAACAACACCATGGGTCTTGGACTGTGGGGTCACAAGTGCGTGCAACTTGAGGGTGGCACTGATGCCGCCCTTGGACTTGGGAGAAGCAAAGGATAGAGATCTATGACCTGGCACATGGCTACGCACAGGCAAGTTGAGTGAAATTGAGCACCATTGTTTTGAACACCCTCAAACTTTGGAGAGACTGGGAAGATGACATCAACTTGCAGCAGACTTTTTAACATCCCAGCAGACTTCAACGTATAAGCTCATACAGTGGGATCCCGAGAGCAAATACCTAGGAATAGAATTGAACAGCCGATGCATCCCCAAGCAGCGAAAATAGATCGCTACCTTTCGCATCGCTGAAATATATATAGTACTGCCAATCATTGCGCCATTCTCAATGGCCCAGGGCAATCTAACAGAAGAGCTTACTCAGTAGAGTCAGGCTTTGCCTTCCCCTTAGACTCGGACTTTGACTTCCGGGACTTTGCACTCGATGCTTTCGGCTTGGGTGCACTTTTGGCCTTGGCCTTTGCCCTCTCAGTACTGGGAGGTGTCTTCGTCGTTGCCGGCGACTTGATGCTCCTCAGCAAAGCCATGATGCAAAGCAGGCATATCAGGGGGGGTTGGTTGCGGCTTCACATTGCCAATGCTAACTAGATACCTGGAGCGAGTGAGCATACCATTCATGGCCACATCCAGCTTTGTGCATTGGACGAACAACCGTTGGATTTGGTCTCGCTTCTCCCTTAGATATCGATTTTTCACACCGCTTTAATTTGTTTGGTGCACACGTTGAACAATGGAACACACACGCTACATGCATGCACATAAAATTCAAAGGGGCTTGTCCATGGTTTCAGGGCTTACGGTGGCCTCGGAGAGCTTGTCGGTCAAAGAGTTGTAGGCACCATCCATTTCCTTGAGCAATGTCTGAATTTGCCCCACCAGCCTAGAATTGCAAATCGGACGGGCAATAACATGCAAAGTGGAGTGGGAAATGGTGGTCATGGACAGGCTTCATGATCGCTTCCAAGAAACCCTTTGGCTTGAGTGGTCTGGATGGATGTGATACGGTCCTGCAATTCCAGATGTGCACGTTGACCTTTTGACTAGCTAACACATTTAACATGCACTGTTGGCTAGATATCCCCCCCAAAAAAAAAAGCAGGGCTGTCCAGCTCTGCTCGGATCTTGTCCAATTTTCGACCCAGAACATCGATAAACTGCGGCAAGATCGATACAGCACTGGTGTTGGCTGTAACTGCTGGGAAGGTCATCCTCAGAGCAAGTTGAAATACTGCAGCTTTTAACAAACAATTTATAATTGGCAAGGTGATCATGCAGCAAAACATGATCCAACACTGACAAGGAACTTGAATGTCATCACGTTTTGCACGGACCCCATTGCATCTTCAGGATTACCTGACCCAGAAGCACCTCCAGTCTCTTGACCAATCTCTGGCAGGTCACTCACCAAAAGCGAGCCCTCCTGATCCTGGTGACGGATGAGGCTGCAGGGCACCGGCGGAAAGGACAGCTATGTATGTGGCATGGTGTGTATGTGCACACATGTGCATATATAACCCCCTCCTCCACCTCGAAAGACCCAGTACGGTTAACTTCTTCCAGATCAGTGTTCTCAAGTTGGAAGGTCTCCGTGAGGACAAGGCGGACTTCCTCCTCCCCATGTACTTCATTGACCCTCACAGCGCCATTTTCCTGCCCCACTCAAACGCACGATCCACCATTTTCCTGGGCAGGTCAATGATATATACATAGATATACAGTATATATATATGATGGAAATCTCTTACAACTACTCAAAATATTAACGATAAGTCTCTTGGTCCACCCGGCGACGTTCTCAAGGTAAGCTCTGGTGTACCAACCTCCATCAACCTTCTTACGGTCGGCTTTCAAGGATTTCTTCGAAACCTGCACCTCCAGCTGACCAAAGGATCCATGTTCTCGGAACATTTTGCGCAGCTCCTGACCTTGGCAAATTCATTAATTGCTATTTCACTTGGCTAGACTTTGGGTAAAATGCTGTCTAAAAACGTCCCTCGTCCGTTCTCCACATCGCCAACGCTTTCTCTGAGCACTGGAATGTCCCTCGCTTGGGCTTGAAGTATCGACGAAGCCTAGGCACGAAACAATGAAGCCGTGCACGAATCTATATCATTCGAGCTAGAGCATGTCACCCAACAGAGTTGGCATGGGCTTGTTGAAACAAACACACATGCATGCAGTCTTATTTACATACACGCATAAGCCTAGGAGCTTGAAGTACCCTGGTGACTGAGGTCTCCGGCCAGTCTCTGGAATCACTGAAGGGGTTGGTGTCCCTGGACATGGAATCTCCTCTTCACGTGTGGGCTCAGGTAGGGGCTCAGGTGTGGGTGCAGGGAACGTGGCTTCAGGTGTGGGCGTCGGCTTGGGTTGTGGCGTGGACAAAACAGTGGGTGAAGGAGAAGGGGGCACAGGCGGAAGGGCCAGGGAGTTCTCCCGTGGATGGGAATCTCCATAGCCTTCAGGCAGTTGAGAATCATTGCCAACTTACCTGAGCTGTCATCGACCACCACAGGTCCTGAGCTCACCTGATCGGTCCCCGGCGTTTCATAAAGCGCTGTCGGTTGAGAATCCAACAGTGTGCTCTCTTCAGCCAAGCCAGCACAGAACTCACCACCACGTTGAGCGGTATGAGGTGCTCCTAAGCGGTTTTAGAATTGTTATAGTATGCGATAGTATGCGCACGCGCATGCGTGTCTACGACAGTAACTGCATACTCTTACCAGCCTGGAACTGTCGTTTGTGGTGCAAGTTCTGATGGTTGGTTTGAAAGCTTGCGGCGCAAGGCCTCAACACGCTGCTTCTTTGCCTCAGCCAGCTAGCATGAAATAGCTATATATATATATATTGTTTTATGCATGATGTAAAGTGTAAGACGTGCAAAGCTTGCCATATAACATGCACACCGATTTGCTAGAATCAGCTCTTCCAATTCCCGCTTCCGTGAGGCGTTGGATCCATCTCCAAACTTTACAGCCATGGTTCCGGCAACAAGCGTGCTGGAAGAGTGCAGTCTTTCCATATTTTCCAAATCAAAGCCAAGAATGCTAAGCAGAAAGGATACACAAGACTACAACTGCAAAATCTGTGCGTGGCATCAAGTGAGAATCCAAAATCTGCTCAACCCAAAATCACACTTTTCAGGTATGCGGGTGTTTGCGTGAATATGCGCGCGTATGCGCGAATATGCGCTCGGTATGCGCATCCCGATTTCTACTCAACCCCAACGAATTTGAATTTCTGTCATCAAAGCTAGTGCAAAGTGCAAAAAGTGTGCGGGCAATCCCGCACGATCCAGGCTCTGATCTATATAGATCAGTCTGCAAGTTGCGCTCGAAGTCCGGGATCTCCAAGAGCCTGCCAAATTCTGCAGAACGTTCTATAAATAATACCTGCCTGGATTGACATACTGGCCTCAGACTGGTACTCTAGGACAAAGCTTCTCATGGTGCTCTCCCATTGCACGCTAGGATACCTACAGGGACCGGTGTTGTGAACCCACTGCAGTAGCTATAGCCTTTAACAATCCCGAAGACAACACTGTGATGGTTTCCTAACAACCAGGGACCAGCCTCACTTTCTTGGACTGGAACAAGTAAAGCAGTGGATCCAATAAGTTTGCATCCTCCCACTGGTCTCCCATGGGCAATTGCTCAAACTGAGCCCGGTCATCGAGAAGTCCCCCAATCTGCGGTTTGTACCGCAGGTCGCGGCGATCAGAAGATTCATGCAGATGCTCTTCATAGAGCTTCTGAAGGCTCCGGGCAAAGCCTACAGTGTATGTCCTGAGAAGTATTGTTCAATTCCCATGCCCCGGGTCCGTGTACTGCTGCCAAACAAGTATGGGATCTTGGTATACAAGCCAAGTAACTGTGATGCTTTGAGACCACGTGTTCCCTGAAACTTACGGACTCCAGCTTTGTTGGTATATTTTCCTGGGCGGTGATTTCAATGATTTTGCTAGCTCGCACCAAATGCTGGCATGCATATATACAATTAAGTCTAGCATCGGGTGGTGAGTCCAGTGGTCCTACGTTCCCTCTCCTCTTTACGGAGGGCTCCAAGGTGAAGTCGTTGAACTTCCTTCATGTTGGAATAGCAGACCGTAGGTTTTGGTGTCCCTGAACCATGAAGCATCATCCAGAAGCAGCAGTGATAAACCTAAGTTCGCCGTGTTTGCAATTTGAGTGGCCTAGAACGCTATGTAAATCACATGGTACAACAGCTGTAAACACACTGCATGTTGATCAACAGCTGATTAGTTCATGATTTCCTTGATGATGCATGGACCCACCATGACCCACCCCTTTCCACGGTTTGATTCCCAAACCAACCCGCAACAGGTGAAGGATGGTGAAGGGCAAATTCCACAGATGCAGGCATAACCTCGCGGGACGGCGTATACGGAGAGGGAGTAGTTCTAGTCATGCCTAGCTGCAGTTGCCACGTGGTTCACAAACCACTCGAACCGCCGATGGCGGACAAGCAAAGAATTACGTGGTTGCTCCAGTACCCACACCAAATTCTTGCTCATCATGTAAAGCAGTACCAGAACAAGCCTCGGTTGCATATGATGTATAGATGATAAGTACAGAGAGGCTTGATGTTCAATAACATGCCGCATATGAATGCCTAGAGGTGTATGGCAAGAAACCTTGAAATCATCACGTTGGCTCCCCTTATCCATGGTAGAAAAAGATTTCCAGCCACATTTACAAAGTTCCGCCAACTAGTTCCTCGCGATGGAATCCCCCAGCTCGAGCAGTCAGGGGCCAAATGCCCCAGTGCATTGCAATCCATTTGCATCACAGTCCACAAGATCAGCCTGGGACGGATTTTTTGCCGGGTTTCGACGATAGCGGTGTGCACTACGGATATATATATATATACATTGAGAACCCCTACAATGAACCTCATAGTCAAGCAACAAGAATCCTGGAGAAGAGTTGAACTCCATAGCGCTCGGATGCAGGTCCCTGTCATATGATGCGCATCTGTACCCAGCATCATGCCTAGGAACATCGGGCGACATTTATATCGGCGCTACCAGCAACATGCATGGCTTGTGCATGACCCTGGGGATGGGACATGGTCCGGGTCAATGCTTGCTTTCCGCTAAAGACCTCCATGAAATCGAAGGGAGTGCTCGGTATATCCATCCAACCGAGCATCAACACCTGCATGGGATCCACACTTTGGGTTTTGAAGGGCATACATGGGAGCTGTATGCATCGCTACAAGCGACAAGGTCCCGGCCAGTGCTATCAGGACCTCAAAGCTATACAGGCATGACTTCAACAAATATAGTTCATTCTGTCTGTATGGCTCAGGCCTTTGGAGCCTGCACATGCTGCAGGTTGAACACTGGGGAATAAGCCATGGCTTTCTCAAAGCCACGACGGACAACAGAGCCCAAATCCCTCCAAGAGCATGGTACCAAAATGCAATGCAGTTCATGCCACACAGACACTAAAGACCTGCGTGCAACAAAATTAAAACACGCCAGTTGGAACCTGCTCTCCAGGCCTTTCTCATCCAGCTGGATGCCCGGGTCATTGCACCGCCTGGATGCACCGTGGATGCATTATCACTAGGCCCACACAGTCAGTGCACTCACACACACGCACACATGGACCAGTGTAGCTAACACAAAGCGGAACAAAAGTTGCGCAGGACCTTTTGCTCAAGATTTGGTGCATGGGTCCTTCCCCACTGCATGGTTGTTGATCTCTAGAGCTAGTGGACTAGCTGCAACCCTACGGATAGCATTAAACACCTATCCAAATACCCTGACCATGTTCCTCACGGTCAAAAGTACTAGCCGCTGTGTTTATCACAGCCACATCGTCCATCACTACAGCGCTCCAATCACGACGCAGCATGATATGCCTAAGCTCTTGGGTGCGTGCGTGCCAGTGCGGGCTGGGACATGCAGCACGGATCAGCACGGACAACAAAACGTACAAAATATAATCAAAACAATTCGAATACAATTCCAAGTAACCGCTTTGGCAAGAATCTTGGCCTCCTCGTCGCTCTTTCCATCGATCAAGGCTGCCTTCATCGCTCTGTGAGAGGCGCTACTCTTCCTGGATGCCTTCTTCTTTGCTTCGATCTTGGCGTCATCTCCCTTGGCATCATCTCTCTTCCTCTTATCACCCTTGGCCTTTGCAGCTGCCTTGGCCTTAGCCTTTGGCTTGCCACTTGAGGCTGAGGCTTTGCTTGCATCACTCAGGAGATTCTCAGAAGATGATGCTTTCTTGCTGCTCGAACTCTTGTTGGACCTCCTGGACTTCCCGGACTTGTCCGAAGGCTTGCCTTTAGACTTCTTGTCAGACTTCTTTGGCTTGTCAGACTTTGACTGCTTGGCAAGCTTGTTGGACTTGTCCTTTGATGACTTCTTGCCGCAAGCCGTCTCCTCCTTCTCAGCTCCCTTCTTGCGACGTCGCTTTGCAGGCAAGTTTTTGCGTTGATCAGCTGGCGCAATAGGAGACAGCTGGTCGAGCACTTCAGGACGCTCCAAACCATGCTCAGTAGCTGTTGTTGAAGTTGTCGAGACTGGCGAATTGGTTTTCACCTCTTTGTTGATCTCCTTTTTGTCGCCGTCCTCCGTCACAATCAATTCTTTTGCAGGTTGCCCAGCAGCAACAACAGCAAGATCCTCCGGAGCTCGCAGATCAATATCCATGGGCAATGTCTCCATGTTGTCCAGGCCTAGGCTAGCGATGTCATTAAGAATTTACACACGTGTTGCTATAGCGCAAACAAGGCACATAGGAAAACTCATGGAAAATCTATATATAGTCATGCTGAATGTGGTCAAGTTGCAAACCTCCGGGTGCGCGGTGACCTGCTGTTGCGGTTTGGCAACCTTCTTGAACTTGCTCCAGTACTGGATATAGCGCTTTCTGATCCAAAGGTCCTCAACATCCTCATGAACTGGTGCAGCCACGCCATCATCGGCAGGAGCTGAAGTTGCCGGCCTTTTGGCGGGAGGTTCTGTGGCAGAGCCATTTGGTGGCACAGAGGGTGAAGCTTCCGGCAGACTTTCATCTGCCATAGGTCTCAATCTCTTTGGTCGAGATGCTGCCTCCGTGGGAGGGTTTGCTGAACCAGGAGGCGCCTGTTGCGGCACAAGCTCCTCCTTGGGTTTGGCCTCTTCAACTTCCATTGCTGCAGTTGCTTCCTCCAAGGACTCCTTCAAAGCCCATTCAAGCTGCTGCTCTTCTGTTTCGTACAGCTCGAGTTCCCGCATTTGCTCCTCAAGCTCCGCAAGCTCCTGGGCCTCTTGAGCTTCCAAAATCTCTTGTGTTTGGACTTGGATTCTCAACTCACGCTCCAATGCTTCCAAAGCCTCCATCTCTTTCTGGAGATCCTCTTGAGAGACACGTTGGTTGCAAAGTTCACTTCCAACCACTGCAGCACTTGCGCCAATGGAAGCCACATCAACACTACTGGTAGGCCGAGGTGAAGTATCAGGCTTTGGAATTTTGCACCCTTGCTCCCTGATGTTCGCGACATAGCCCACCTTCGAGCATTTCAAGCACCGGTAGCCGTATTTGAGATCCTTCACAATGTAGTGGTCCCAAGGATTGCCAGGTAAGTTTGCTGGTACTTCAACAGAAGGCTCAGTAGACCCAAAAGCATCACTGCCTTCGAAGGCGTGCACATGACAAAAGAAACCTTCCCTGTATATGATATCTTATAATCATGCATGTCTATAACATATATATATATATGCAACTTTTCTTGGGGGTGTTAGCCCATTTCAAGATCCGGGGCACACAAAAATGGCAAGAGTTGCCTTTGTTCCATCTAAGGTACAAGAAGCTTTGGCATCATCCAACTCACAGGCGGGCAAACCTGGGCCCGCGAAGAGTTGACGACGGCAGCCAGTGGTCGTCTCCTGGAACAGTGGCCGGCCACCGATGGATGGAGCACATATATATATATATATATAGGTATAAATTGTAAGGAACTGATGCATATCATGTGTCCCAATTTGGGGGATGCAAAAAATATAGAACTTTTACCTTTGGACTCATGGCAAAATGCTAAATGGCTCCTTTGAGGGGTCGACAACCGGATCGTCTTCATGTTCTTCTTCCTCTGCGTCTTCTTGCTCGTTGTCACCTTCCTCGGTGCAATCTTCCCCAGTAGGCTCGGGCTCGTCACGGGCAGCCACGCTCATGGAACCTGACATTGCGGTAGATTTTTAATTTCTTAAATGCGAGGTGAGGGTTTTGAGAATTGGAACAAAAATTTACCAATCATTCCATCCAGAGAGCTGTTGGATCGCGACCCAGTATGGGGCGTGTCAGGTACAGGGATTCCAGCTGCAATCATGAGTTGTTGGAACTCTTGTTCTCGAGGTCTGTGTCCTCTCTTGGTAGCCCTGGAGAATAGGTAAACGTGATTCCGCAGGACCCAAGACTCCGCATTCACATGATCACCTGGCAGATGCCAATATGATGCATGCACGCCTGCATAGATAGATCTATAGACATGTTGCGGGTTGGACATGCTTTCCCTCTTGGCCTGCAGTGGGTCAGAAACAGGGTGACCGCCTCAGCCAATGTATTCACAGATGGGCGTAGTCCTTGGCTGCACGTTGGACTTGTAAAAGATTAGGGTTGAGTGGATTTCCTACGCCCCTATCTACAAAAGAGTGCCCCAACCAATCATTACTAAGAGTCCGAGGTGTTCAACAAGTGGTAGAAGAACTTTGTAGTTGGCACACACCTCTTTGCGAGTGATTTCCTGGTTCTTGCTGACCACAACCATCACACCAGCAGCAGCTTGCTTAACAAGAGCCTCATTCTTCTTCCACTGTTCAACTACTGCTGCTATGGCATCGGATGCCATGAAGCCTCAAAACCTATGGCCTATATGTAGACGATGTTTCTTGGACCAAATGGCACTGCATGGTTTGTTGTCCAAGTGCTCATGAAACACCCACGGCTGATAGCGGTATCTTTGCCGGGCCTTCAGCAAACGTCGGACAGGTGGACCATTGATCGAGTACCTGGATGCGCGCACATTGCACCGGGCAGGTTTCAGATATGAGCAGGTCTTTACATGTAAAACATCGAGCACTTTCATGCAGTGACCATATTTGTGTCGGTATATTTATGTAGCTCCAGAGAAGGGGCACTTGGTCACCTGGTGATGATAGGGCGGTGTCCAGAAACAGAGCCAAAATGGCTGGACATGGGATGCTGAATCTGCGCGTTTTGGTAAACATGCGCGTTTCGAGGATTTGCGCTCGTTTGACTGAAGAACGCTCGAACGAGCTGAAATGAACACAAGCCACAAATTAGTGTAACGTTGGAAGTTCTAGGTATTCTCCGCAAAACACCGAGTAAATAGAACATCTTTCAGACTACCACCATCCTGGAGTAGATCGACTTCCAAATCGAAGATATCCGCCTCTTTTTCTGCCGGCCCGTACCAGCACAGCCTATGACTGCTGGCTCGTCCGTACCAGCGAATCCACTTTTTATACAGATCAAGGACCTCAGATGACCGGGGTTGATCCTGCAACAACACTACTCGCAACAACACTACTCCCTAGGCAATGAAATTTTAAGGACCAAGTTTTACTATGGGGAATATATAACATGATCCTGGTTTCCTCCTAAAAAGCTCAGCTCAGAGGCTCTGGCTACAGAACACACCACTCACCATCCGTTTGCGGGGGTGGAGTGCCCAAATCGGGGAAACCCTCTCTGGCCAATGGATGGAAGTCCACCATTCTTGTGTTCCAGCCGTCTTCCACACTGTGGTGTGGGTGAACAAGTTACAACATGTTCCAACTATGTCCCACGTTTTTTTCAAAGTATTAGACAAACATCATGGTGGTTTGGGAGGGAATAGTTGAAGTTCCTGATGGGTCGGGGAGTCAGGGATCACAGGCGATCACAGGAATAGGACAGCCTTGGGAGACAGCCGATTGGATTGGTTGGAACTTGGAACGTTTCTTCTCCGTTGATCTGTAAGATGTTTAATTGGACAGCTGCCACGGACTGTCCCGGGGTCAAATCGCCATCTCCCCGGACTGGTGCGAAATCGCTCCAAGAGGCCACTGAGTCAGGGAGTTTTCCAAGTCGGACCTGGCGACTTTCAGACGGAGAGTTGGCTGTGGAGAGTCCATGTGGAGATATGATGAGATCCTAGTTCTTCTCGAACTAGATGAGATCCTTCTGAAGAATCGGACCTATCTGGCTGGCTTGGGAGAATTGATATGAAGAGGCAGAACCTGCTGCACAGTTCGAAGATCTTGAATATCTATCTTTTATACTTATCGAGCCTAAAATATGCAACCGATGTTGTGATGCGTTCTTCATCGTTGCTCTCTTCGGAATAGAGATGCCCTGGTGTCCTCTGGCAAATGTTTTTTGTCCTTGAGATAAGTCCTGTCCTTACCCAAAATTGGGTCAAGTTCATGATGATGATGATGATGATGATGATGATGATGATGGTGATTACAGGAACCGTTGATGATTGAGTTTGATGTAGGAACGTGCAGAAGTGATCCACTTGCTGTCTGGGGGTGAAGGAGCCGATTATGATATATACATGAACACGTGGTTGATCAAAAAATGAGGCGCAAATGAAATCAAGGTCATCAACTGCCATGTGGCCTCAATCTTCTTTGCAGGGAGGCCTTTCTCCGATCAAGATCCCATTGATCAAGAGCAGCTTCTGATTTCAACACAGTCACCTCTTCGGTCAAACGGAAGCTGCTTTGATATATATATATATGGCCTCTAACCTACTAGCGATGGCCTCCAACCTAATAGCGAAGGTATCGGATGGTGGTCGGCATTTCACCCCCAAATCCTCTTCGTTCTCAGGGTGTCCATCCCAAACGAAGTCAAGTGGAGTTCGGCAGGTGGAATACACATTATAACTATACTTAATTAATTCAATCTACGCTACACCTCCAGTTGTACCTCCTCAGGTTCGGTATGACTGGACCGTGGCACTGGGCCCCGGTCATCCCACCTTCTCAGGTTCCTAGATGCTTGGTGTTCATTCCCGGAGCCTGTCAACGCCGTTCAAAAAGGGCTCGTAGTTAGTATAGCTTCAGTACCACTTGAGCTTCTTCAACCAACAACTTCCTATGCCAAGCAGTTCCCTACAAATCAAGAGATCCACATACCCTCTGAGGTGATGTGTTACCTTCTCCTGAGGTTCGGAGCTCAGCTGGATCCGGGCCGTGTGGATCTTTTCATCTGTCCAAGGTCTCGTGTGGGTCCGTCCAACGAAGCACGAGCCACCTGCCCTTGCTACCCAGCGCATAGAGCGAGCGGTGACGCTTGACCTCCGAGAGCTCGGCCTTTTCCTCGGGGAGAGCAAGACCAGCGAGACGGTTCCAAGGCCCGTGACAAGGGGGGACTTCTGGACTGGACCTGAGGTGCTGGGGTGATTGGGATGAGAATACCTGCTAATATAACCTTCTGAGGATATGATTGGAGCCCTAGGGAAGTAAGCAATCAAAGCACCTGGGTGTGTGGATCCGTCGATTTGAAGGATCCCATGGCCTGACTATGGGTGCAGCGGCCGCACCGCGTGCCATGGCCTTCACCACCACCCTAATATCTAGCAACCTTCGCATCTTTTTGTTCTTTCATTGTGTTTCTTCTCCAACCCAATAGCGATGGCCTCCCTTCTACCAAATGGGGCCGCATGGGGATTGTCAGATGGGATCTCACAGTACAAGAAGCGGGTGGGCACTGCAAAACTCAGGTCACGATCGGGCGCGGTAAGGGAAAACACCGAGTGCAAATGTACCAAATATACAACAGGCGTCCGCAATTTCACCACAAACAACACATGTATAACTTTGGCGGCATGCCTCACAGATTCATGGGGGATCCAAGTGGTGACAAATCATCCTCCAGTGTTATATGCTGCAAACCATCAAAACATCATGTGTAAACATGTTGGATACAAAGTTTGGCCATACTTTGTAGGCAGTTCTTTGCAGAAGAGCAATACCCCCTGAACCGTATTGGCTCCCAACCATTTTCCGAATACCAACAAAAGGAGTTTTGGGGTCCCATGTGGTCATCTGCAGGGGAGTATCCATTGGAAGGTGGTTGTTGCATTCATTTTTTCGGGTTTCTTGGGACACACCGAGGGCGATCCAAACATGGCGAAACCAAAGGCCGGCACCGAGGCACCGATTCGCGGTACGACCATGCCGACTCACGCGACAATTGGACGGCATGGACACTGGGAGATGACCGATTACAGGTGGATTTCACTCCACAGAACCAAGCGTTGGTACGTTGGATGTGGGAGGGTACCAGAGCAACATCTTTGCCAAGGGGCAAAGAGCTCAGCTTCAAATTCATCATAAGGGCCTGATCATAAAGTTCGATCATACGGACTGAGCAGATGTGAGTGGAGCTGGCATCAAGGATCAGCGAACCTCTTTTGGGGATCTCAAGGTCTGGTCAGTCTGGTCAAACGAGTCTCAAGCAGTATCAAGCAGTAGAGCTTGCTTCCACACTTCATTGTCTTGTACATGTGTAGAATAGTTAGTTATGAGGAAAATGAGGGGTCAGTCACAATCAGTCATGAAACTTTGGGGGTTGGTTCTCAGATAGCAACTTGAATTCACTCACTTGCGGTCATAAGCATCGTCCGATCAGCCAAACCCAGGGCTTTTCAGACTGCGTTCGACACAGTCTGGGAGCGTCAGACACTGCCGAACCGGCGAACCGGCTACGTAGCCATGACCGGCTGGTTCGGTCCAACAGCGGAACCGTTCGTGTGGATTTGCAGCGGAACTTCCGAACTCTCAAAATCCGGGGAAAACCAAGCAGTTTTCCTGCGAGTGGTGCGGTGCGGTGCTTCGTGCGAGTTCTGCGCGGTTTTCTTGAAGAGGTCCTTTGCTTCGCGACAAAAAACGCAGCCCGATCTGGTTGAAAATACCTCGCGATGGCGTTTGCATAGATTGTTCATTCAACCAATCAACCGGTGACTCATCAGGTCTTCATATATACATGGCATTGGGGTCTATCCGAGTCTACCTGGGCCCAGTGGATGATGATGGTTATGTTGCAGGCCTTGTCCAAAAATAGTGATAACTATTTACTGACTGTTACAGGTAATAGGACAGACCCTATATATTATATAACAAAGGAAAAAGACCCACCCACCCGCCATCACCTGCCTGCCCCCAACCAAAACCTGACAGATTGGAAATGGGATGAACTGGGTGTGTAGCTCAGTCGCCTGGGTCCTGGGTCCGCCTTCGGTACCGACCGTACCCGTCCGACCAGTCCCGAGCAGTCGGGGGCGAGTTGTCTCGAAGTCTGGTGGACGGTCACTCTCTGTAGACTCTCTCTTGATGAATCACCCTGCCCAAAACATGAATTCCCTACAAATCCAGTCGTACCTCCTCAAAAGGTACTTGGACCTTCCAAACCCACCCCAGTCCCACCTTCTCAGAGGGTACTTGGATCCATAGGGATTGAACAACCTCTGAACGGTGATCCATCTCTTCCCTCGCCGTTCGATTCGGGCAAGTGTTTTCCGAACGCGCTCGGAGACCGAGGGGCTGAAGATGGCCTGAGGTTACGGTTGGCAGCGCGGCAGGTACCGTTGCACAGGTTGAAGAACCCTAAAGAAAGACAAAGACCAGTCCAGGTACGGTACCCCAGGTTTTGGGGCTCCGAAAAAAGAAAGATCACTGAACCTCTCTTGGCACCGTTGCAAGGGGCTCACAAGGACGCGAACCGGTCGTATAAAACACCTATCGACAGTCACATAACGTCTTTGTTTTACAATAATAAACAACAATCATTGGCAGGCAAATGTGATTTTTGATCGGTCTGTGGCAAATGATAAGCTTCCTAGCCAACCTGTTGGGATTTCACACAAAGCTGGTGATGCCGGTGTAGAGTATTGACTTTAAAAGAACACAGGTTGGGGGATTCTATCAATCAAGACTGAAGAGGCTACACAATCTCTCAGACTTGTGGCATAGATATGATGGATTTCCAGCTCGCCCTTATCATCCCTTATCACAAGTGTCGATGTGGACTGAGCTCCTGAGCTGGAGAATAGAAGCGTTTGACCTTAACGGGTCAGGAACTGACCTCATTTTACTGGCATTCATCATACAACAGCACTACTCGGTTTTCAGTACTAGTTCTGGACCTGGGTCAGACTGAACCTGTAGGGGCAGCTGTATCAACGCCTGAAACCACCGGGGAAAAAACAGCCACTTCTCAACGAAGTGAAGCCAAACCTATATATCCAGAGACTCAGTGCCTTCAGCCGGTGAGCTGCGAACGAAGGAAGAGTGCACGAATCATTCCGTGATCACATAGTTACTCACATGGGTATACATGCCTGGACCTTCAAGGGGTGTCCCGTCTGGAGGTCCCTTAGAGGTGGTGTAGGGGCTTCCATTGGCCATTGGTGACCCCGACATGAAGGTGCTGGTGGTTCCTTCCGAACCGAACCCGGGCGTTCGAACGCCTCATCTCACAAAGCCGGACATCTTCTGGTACCAGGCTCAAAAGCAGCTTAGCATTCTCCCCAAAAAGATCCATGTTGAAGACAGGATCACGGTGAATTCCGACATGAAAACCCACCTGTCTCACCGCGACGCAACGGACTTGTCGCGCGAGGCTTCTATAAGCAGCACATCGTCTAAGGGGCGGTGGGCGTGAAGCAGGGAGACTGAATCTCCATGACATCTGGAGGTGGCAGGTCAAAGAGCTGGAAGTTGTCCTGACAATCTGATCCCAATCCGGTGGGCAGTGATCGAATGTGTTCGATCCATATTTTACTGCGAGGAACATGATGCAAAACAAGAGGCTGTGAACATACCTAGATCTTCCAACGTTGCAACATGTCTGCCTTTTAGAGGTGAGAACGAAACCGGAGCCTGGTCGAACAGGGGCCAAAGAACATCCGATTCGGATGGTCATAGACCCTCAGGGTACATGATAACTCATGATACATGACGATACGATCTGTCGATGCACCAACCCTATCAACAAGCCCATTCAAGGAACAGGCAAACACATACAGTGTCACATGCAAACAGCTGTGCTTTCGGAACCTCCAAAATTTGCCCATCAAATGCACGGGAAGACAACTCTCCCTGTGGACATTGTCATTTCTGGGTGCTTGGAAGGCGAAATCCTCAACAAACCCTAGGGATCCTGTCATACCTTCTCAGAAGGTGATTGGAGACACTGTTATATAGGTTTGGAGGGTCCAGGTACCTTCTAAGAAGGTATATGGATTTGTAGAGAAAGAGGTGGTGCCATTCACCTAAAACATGTTTCTTTGGGCCGAAGGCTTCCGCAGCGACGACATCGGAACCGACAGGTCCGCGCCTGCGTGATCATGCTCTCAGTGGCTTCGACCTCAGCATCATGAAAGCGAGAATTCGATTCAACACAGGGTTGGAATTGATGTGTTTTAAAGATCCTTTCCACGTGGTTGTTCAAGGAACCAATTGTGTCTAGTAAGGTTGTTTTGGTTTCCAGGTATACCGGTATACCCCTATTCTGAGGCTCACAGGTCCATTCCAGCAATGTTGCTATATTTGAAACTGGCGTTGCTGGGTCTTTTCTAAAACCTCTAGTATACTGCAAGTCTTGAATGTGAACAGTGACTCATGACCACCAAGGTTGTGTGTGTGTGTGTGTCCCCTGCCTACATGACCACTAGGCCTGGACCAAACCATCTTTGGAGTGCCATTCCTTGCCATGCCTAGAACTGGCCAAGAGATGCCAAACAAACTGTCTTTCTACTGGCGAGAATCCACCATCAACAACAATTATCAAGGCTGAGGTCCTCAGGTCATGGACTCGAGTCCTGAATTCCTATGACCCAGACACTGCCAAACACCCCATGGGACTGCCATATTTGCCTACAATGGGGTCGTTTGGGGGGTCAATGTAGGCATATATGGCATACATTGGAGTGTCTGGGTATGGCTGCAACACAGCAAGATTCTCTGGTAAATCCGTCTCTGCAACGGGCGTCTCAGGTGGTATACTTGGAGCCTTACAAGGGTATGTTCTTGAATGATGGAGCTATATACCAGGACCCTCCTGTCGGGGTGTCTATTTATAGCCCCAAAAAGCCGTGATTCGGGTGGACACCATGTCTACCACCCCATACCACCCGGATGGCCCTGGATGGCCCTGTGCCCTAGATGTTCTCACTCAGCAAGCAACATCGGACTCGAACGATCCACGTCGAAGGTTTTCCGTCGACCGACGGTTTTGGTTCCTTCCGACGCAACGGTCAAAGCGCACCGAGGTGAGCGCACGGTGTTTGACCCCTCCATACCTTTCGAAGCGTCCTCACCAAACCGAACGGCACATCACTGGAATTCCGAGGGTTTCGGATGTGATGTAGATCTGTATAGATCACATTTTTCGACACCAAACCAGCGTCCAAAGAAAGTCACGGCATCCATCGGCCGCTTTTGGCGGGAGGTTCCGCGAACCTGGGACAAACCTGCGGGAACAGAAGATGGTTGCGGGTTCTAAACAGCTACCGGGACCCCCCAAGGGGTGTCTATTGATAGCCCCTTAGCAGTTCTAAGGGGTGTCCATGTGAGTGCGGTGGGTGTTGGACGCTCAATTCCAGCACTCGGCCAAGTGACCTTGTTGGGAACCTCGCTGGTGAGACTCTCTTCCAGAGAGACGCTCGCCGAGGAGGGGCCTGAAAGAGAGACGACCAACGCCGCTGGAGAGCGCTCGGTATGGAGTTGCTCCAAATAGGGTGAATCGGTACCGACCTCGAAATCGAAGGTTGAAGGTTTTCAAATCGAACCGAAACGGATAGGTCCTGCAGGTGTCATCATGGACAGGTTCGCGTTGGGAGGACTTTGGAGGCCTTTGGGGACGTACGTGGGCGGAAAAACAGGGCTGGGAGACGGGCTTGCCCGAATGGACCACGGATGGAGACACGTCTCTCGCAAAGACGACCTGTCCTGGGGGCGGCGTTTTGTGCCGAGAAAAACGGCCGTTGTTAAGGGGTCGTTGGATTGCTTCTTGCTGTCGATTCTTGTAACTGCAAGTGGCCCTCAAAATCATAAAAAGATATGAACAAATGTGTTTTCACCTACAACAACCATAGTGTTTTGCTCGGGAAAACCTCGGTGATTGATGGGTCATGTGGGGCCTCTGGTGTGTGAATGTGTTGTTTTTTCTATGTCCTGAACACGGAAGTCGAATCCATGCCGCCCCTACTTATAACCCTTATAAGGGGTCAATAAATATATACACATATTGGCTGTGGGTCAAAAGCCTATTGGCTGTGGGTCAAAAGCCAGACACCGAATTCCTGGTTGGTTGAAGACCCTTAGTAGTCTATTCAGTTCATGTTCGGTGGTCAACCAAGGTATCCTATTATGGTATCCTGGACTCCAGGTGCTTTCGCCGAAAATTTGCCTATTTCGGCCTCGAGAGGCTGACGGGGCATAGCCACTGACGCTCTTGCAAAGGATCTCCCGCAAGAGGCAGTCTTGCCTCATGTCGAGTTGCAGAAAACAACGTATTGCTGTAATGTCTCGAAAGTATAGAAAAGTAACGTACATCATCTTTTTGTGTAGGGCGCGCTCAATCAAACTGGGCTGGATCTTCCAACAGAACCGAGAACCCGCAGTCGACCGAAGCTGGGAAGCTCGGTACCGAAGCTTCGGTTGGGACCTCAAACGAGGGATTCTGGCAAGGTGAGAGGTGGGGAAGGGGGGTAAAACCTTAGCTGGTGGTTTTAACTCAGAAATATGAGCGGAGTCAGTGATGGTCAGTGGCTTCAAGTTTGTAATTTGATGAACACCACCAGCCAATTTGAGTCAGATTCTGTCAAACTTCCACCCTTTCCATCCCTTTCCACCAACGCATTGCTCGAGCTGCGCGTCCAGCCGCTTCATCAATTCTTTCCTTGGAGTCAAGGGGGCGAGGGGTCACCTTTAGTTCAAAGCATGAAAAAAACACATATCCAGTAATTACTTGCTACTAGGAACAAGTGCATCGCTTCTAGTAACAAGTGCCTTACTACTATAGGAACCATGTTTGCTATTAGAAACACTTCACTCTTCCAGTTTGCACTTGCCTACGGGACGACGCTCCGACCGCTCGATCCCGGTGTCACCGGACCGAACCAACCGCGCTGCCCACGGCGGTCCGGTCAAAGGGGCATGACATGAGAGTCGTCGGCAAAGCGGCACGACTCTAACAAATTACCAAACAAACACACACAGCACAGCACACATGTCACTGTATAGCGCTGTATAGTTCACAAACATGCAATTATGATATATGACGCAGACTATGCATAGAATATATGTGTTGCATCCCGTGGTTGTACTTCCAAGGAACCTGAATGCAGAACAGCAGCCTCCTACAACCTTGGGTTCCAGACCCGTCAATATCCTTGGATTTCATGGGGATAGTCACAACTCGAGAACTTCAAAGTTATTCCGATATCATGTGCACAATTGTGAACACAATTTGGAATGTAGGAAAATGTGACCTCAGCTATCCTCAGCTTCCTTGTTGTTCGTATTATTGTGCTGACCCGGTGTTCCACTGCCACCCCCTCTGAGTTACGGTGATGTGTTCGACATGTCCACTGCCACCCTCTGCGATTGTAGGTGCCAGCCAATCGGGTCCAGTCGTATGGAATCTGAGAAGGGACGACTGGATCCATATGAACACCCGCATGATCACAACCAGGTGTCCGCAGCGAAGTCAACGCCATGGAAGTCTCAGTAGGCGTCGTCTCCGGTAGTGCGAGTCCTGTCAATGGCAAATGGCCGAGTGGATGGAAAGGACAAAGACAACATAACTTACACTCCCTGGAATCATCGATGGCACCACCTGGATGGCATCACCTGGGGGTTGTTCCAAATACTGTACATCCAAATCCGTTTCCCCAAAACTATCCTTGCGCTGCGCCGGCCTTGGGCGAACCTTGCGCGAACACAGTAAAACTACACCTTCGTTTACCTGTATGTGTATTGTAAACCGCTGTCACAGGCGGAGAGTTTACAAACCACAGGGCAGTGGGCTAGCGACCCATTTCTCGACCCATTTCTCGACCTTCCCAGGGTGTGTTTGTTTGCTGCAGCTTCCCTTCTTTTCTTTCAACAAACAGCTGGCATGGCCAGTCCAGTTCTACATACATTCGGGCTTGCGTGGATCTTGCGCGAACCTTGCGCAGATTTCGATCCTGTTTTGGCCACATTCCGAAGCATATGGCTAAAACATTATGAAGCATACTTGAAGCCTGAAAGCGTTAAGACCTCACAAATCTCGGTTTCACTCCACAAAGCACAAGCTAGTTTCAACAGCTTTTGTAGAAATTCGGGTATATAACTAGTAAGTAGTCCTTGCGGCAAAACCTTGCGCCGGCCTTGCGCGATGCAGGTTTTAGACTTAAACAATAAAGACACATAAAAAAAACAACATTATATGTTATGTGGGTTTTAGAATGACTCCCACCTGAACTTGGTCTTCGGATTTCGCGAAACTGGTCATCCGAACTCGGTGGCCATGCCAACCCCAAAGTTTACAGGGGCCCCAAAATGGCCCATCAATCACCCGGGGTTCCCTAGCAACAAGTCACTTGTCTTTTTGTGCATGAAAACCAATATGGTTCATGGTTTCGAGGGTCCAGGGCCATCCAGGGCCACTGGTAGGGTTTTAGAACAGGAAAGGCTTGGCCTCCCAACCTCGGTCAAGCTCGAGCAGCTCGGTGTCCGGGACGCCGTGGCCGGCGTAGGCCGGTTCTTTCCGAACACTCGAAACCCGTCCGTCGTCCTTCATCAATCCCCTTAGATGCATCTTCTCCTGGGCAGAACTGAGCAGCTGCGAGTCTCCCCCAATGTTTTGGGCGATGAGGTTGGAGCAAATTCTTCAAGGTCGAAAAGAAGGTCAACTTGAGTCTTTGAGGTTGACGTCTCCTGAGTGCCACAGTCGAACCTCAAACAAAAACCTGGAGAGGTCACCTCATGCGCGGAGTACTTGGAGGGTGAGCTCGCTTGTCCCTCTGTCTTTAGGGGTAGTAAGATCATGTAAGATCCATATTGATCAACTGAGGTTCACATGGTGAGTTTCTCCACCTGGTCCAGGCGGTACGTAAATCAAAACAAGACTTGGGAAGGTGTTCCTCCACTGCCCCATCGTTGAGACCTCCAGAGACCTCCAGTTACTTTTCACGGCGACCGGTCGGTAACTGATTAACTTTTCTTGTTTCAACCTTTCATGCTGAAGAGGTTTCTTTACGATTCAAGGAAGCTGGGAGGTTTTGGCGGGTGAAACATCAAGACAAAGAGAACTCAGCCCATTTCTTGAATCCAATCCTGATTGCCATTGAACATCATCCATGGATCATTCCATGGATCATCCATGTTCACATCAAAACCACCCATGATACCCCCATGAAAACGACCCCACCGCGCGCGGCACGCGTGCGCGCGCCTTGCCACAGATGGCCGGGACGCACCCCGCCGCTCGGTGGGGGTGCCTGCACCAGCTCCTGGTGAACTGCGAGAGAACTCAGCCCGTTACGGGCTCCGAAAGCCCCATATCCTCAGGTTCGGTGGTTAGACCGCCCAAACTGGCCCAAACCCACCCAAATTGCTGAGGTAGTTGGAGCCCTAGGGCTGTTTGCTGTACTGAGTCATGTAGAAATTCGTTCAGTCTTTCGTCGTCCCTTCAGCGAACCGGCGGAACGCCCCTGCGCTCGTCGTGAAACGACGCTGCGTGGCCCTGCGGAAGGAAGCCGCCGCAGGCTCCTCCTCCTCGTGAGAAGACCAGGGTATAGGCTCCATCAGGCTTGGCTCGCGTGAACACGGTTATTTTGTCCAGCGTATACGCAGCTTAGAAGTGGATCAGCCCCCAGCCAGCGGGCTGAGCAACGATGAGCTAAGATGCAGCCAATTAAGGATGATGTCAGGGCAGCAATCTGACACATTTTAGGTGTTCATGGGGCTCCTCAACCATCTAACGCCCCTTGTAGGTGGCATGGAGAGTATTTTTTCTGCCCTTGGACAAGCTCCAAGGCAGGAGATTTGTTTTCTTGAGGGGGTGAACTTAGTGAACTTGCTGGAGGCAAAGGTCTGTCTTTTCAGTCTTAATCAGCAATATGTGTTTGTTCGTTTAAACTAAAGAAACACATCCTTTCAGTCTTAATCAGCCAAGGTGGACCCTGGTCGAACACATGAGCATGCACGGAACTCGCATGGACTCCACCAGTCAGCGACGGTCACGGTGCCGGTCACGGTCGACCTGGTCCAAAGCGGTGGAAGAACCCGACGATGAACGTTCGACGTCCTATATATCATATAGATCGGTGCATCGGTTCATCGTTACGGCATGTACGGTCACTTGAACCTCTGTTGCCCGGATCCACATACCTTCTGAGAAGATGATTGGAGACTATATATATGTATACACTTGGAGGGCCCAAATACCTTTTGAGAAGGCATGCGGATCCCTATGCTTGGATTGATTCGGCAGATGTTCTTTCTCCCATGTGACCTTGCGAATCCATCCGTGGTTGCAACCATGTTCCGAAGACCAACCCGACCATGGGGGACTTGGGGTTCCATGTGGTCCTCTGTCCTGGGCGACACGGCCGGAACCTGGGTGGGACTTGGGTACGCACTCGCTTCCTGTTCCCAAGAACTCTGCTCAAAATCCACAGGACAGTGTTCTGAATCAACCCCGTTTGGACTCCAACTATACCTCCGTTTCGGTTCGGTGGGGCTGCGGTGGGGGCCAGGGGGGTCGTTCGTGCCCACCAAACCGGCCGGAGCCCTGGGGCGTTCGGAGCCCAGACGGGTTAGATGATGTTGGATGGCAAAGACAGTTGAGACACCCCCGCTTGTTGCTGGGGAGCGCGGCTCCGCGCTCCAGAAATCCTAGTCCAAAGGTTAGGGATCCATCGATCTGCTTCAGGAGGTTCGTCTTCATCCACAGCTCACTCATCTGAGTAAGGTGCCAAAAACACTCAAGATCTCATGCACCACACTCTATAGTGGATTCCTCAAGAGACTCTATAGATGCCTAAATGATACAGCTGGTGACCTTCAGAGTGTCACTGCTGGGGTCACCTGGGATGAAAATCGGGAGAACAACTCTTTCATGGGGACACTCAAACTCACTCACTCACCCCGATCGACGACCGATCGACCGATGCACGACCGATCCCTTCTTTCAGTGCAAATCGCTTCAGAGCTCAGCCCTGTCATGCGGGCCCCCAATCTGGAGAGCACCGCACGAGCGCCAGGAGAGGGCGCCGGGAGAGGGAGCAGTCCGCCACGCAAAGCGATTGCTCTGGATCAGCTGAAAGTTGTATTAAAACAATTTGTTGTGATGCAGAAGCAAAAATGAAGTAGAACTGATACACTCCCGAAAACTAACATGGCCTCTGACAATGGCACCCTGAAAGACTGGTTTCCTTTTCAAACCAGTGGTTTTCAGGGTCCATGTTAGTTTTGAGCGGAGTAGAAGCGAGAACAAATATGTGTGTATTCAACATAGAAAGAGAGAGAGGGAGAGGACAACTGGGTTTCACGGGACATACCTTCATGCCAAGTAGAGAGATCTGACATTTACCAGGCTGTGCACCTTGGGATTGGGGAAACATCAACACATACCAATGATCAAGGGGCGCTTGGATGCCACCACACCGCCCGCCATGGTCGAACTTGCTCTCCATCTCTTGCTTCGCGCGACAGTCACGCAAAGAATTCACTGAGAATGTCTCAATTCATCAACTCCAGGTCTCATGAGACAAATGTGTCTTCTCCATGAGCTGTTTGAAGTGGCTCCAACATGGGGTTGGAGTAAGACCACCCCAAGAGGTGGTCACCAGGGGTGCAAGGCGGCTGTAGAGTGGGTGTTTCTATGATGAGGGTCATTGGATATCCCAGCAATATGATTTTTCAGAAACAGACTATATGTCATTATATGTCAATGCATTCACTATGTTGAGCAAGCTGTGCAAGGCCGCTGCTCTAGTTTCGAGCCACTTCCGCCCTTATTTTGGGGCCCTTTACAGCAGTTCCAGGCGCAACTCGCAGAATCCATTAACTTTTAAGGTGCTTTCCTCAAGAATACAAACAAAAAAAAGGACGAAAACGTGAATATGACATTCTCAGCTTAATGTACTTTCAGCTGAGGATTGGGTCTGCCCACTTAGTGGTTTGACCGTCGACCCTCTGAGCTTGTCCGTCGGTCAGTACACGGGCATGATCTGACGATGGAAAGAAGGAAGAGATGAGATGTCTGTGTTGTGTGCGGATGTTCCTTTAGGGATTTCAGTGACCAATACCAGTGACTAGTGGTGACCATTGTTTATAGTGACTTGGTCAAACTTTCTGATTGTTAGATGTTAGTGACCATTGTTTAGTGACTTCGTCTTGTCCTGCACTGTCTGTTTCCAAGAATGTGGCGCAGCACAAATCACGAGGTTTGGGTCGGTAGTGAACACCTCCTGCATCATGTGCGCCTATCTTTCGATAGCCCTACGTTCGATGTTTGTTGGTTTCTGATCAAACGTTATTCTATGCATTGTTTCAATGGTGGTGACTGGACTCTGTCAATCACACCAACTGGACCTGCACAGGAAACTGGGAGAATGCCCGTAACCACGAACAAAATGCATGGATGAGCAAATGAGTAGTGCAACAGTTGTATTGGTTCTTGCTAATGATAATGTGTTCTTTGATGTGCTTCACTTCCAGCCAGTGTCCAGTATTCAAAACAGTACCCGCAGCCGTGAGGAGATATGCAACAATCTGGAATTAGGTACAACTTTCTAGAATACTTCTGCCGCCTTCAGTGCAGGGTTTGATAACATCATTACCAACCCTGCGTCACAATTGTCGTATCCTCTACTTGGAAAAAACATGATGCAAAACCCCGGCAAAGAACCTTCAACAATGAACCACGTAAATTCCCCAGCCACTTTTGCTTTGCCACCCGTGTCCAGAAATGTCCGACAAAAAAGAGCCACATCAAGTGACTCCGCATATCATTTACTGACTCGATCACCATTAAACAAGGTTCCCCCTGCCCTCCACCCAAGCTAATTGACACGGGAAAAAGCCGGGCACTTCCCGAACGACCAACGCCTCTGCGGGGTGTTCTCGGTGCTCCCGCCTCTGCAGGGGAATTGTCGTCGCACACGGAGTGAAGCGCCGAATGGCCCGCGTCGCTGTGAACGGCGTGAGCGATCTGCTCCTGCGAGCGATCTTCGAGCGGAGCGATGGAGCAAAGGATCCTCCATCGGCCCAGTGCATCCCAGGCAAACCACTATATACCCTGGGAGTCAAAGACCATAGAAAGAATGGTCTTTAGGTGACCCGAAAAGGAATTTCCTTTACTTCAGCCGGTCAAAATATAGTCTTTGGGCTTCTAGGGTATACGGAACCAGGGGTTCGTTCGGTCTATGGTTTTAGTCGAACTGGAACCACTGGTTACCAGCGACATCGTGGTTTGCCTGGATGCCCTGGGAGGGGGATCCTTAGGGCGAAGTGTGGTGAATCGAAACGGAAAAGAAAAGCAAACGCGGCTTCCAGGTCTGGTCACAGGAGTGCCCAAAAGGGAGTGGGAGTAGTTTAAGTTAATTTACGTTAGTTTAAATATGTTTCAATTATGTTCAACTAATGTCTGAATCAAATCTCTCCACTTGTCTGGCTACCACAATAGCGGGTGACACTCTCAAACAAAAATAGACCAATGAAGTTGTGGGCGGGGCGTTCTTCCCAGCGTTCCCAACTTAGACACTCGGACTGGGACGAACGCATATTTTCAAATCCATGGCAGGTGCTTTCTTCAGCGTCAATCGGAAGCCCGGAGAATCCAGGGAACGGTTCAGGTCCACACCCCCCGGTCTCAGTCTGTGGAGGAGGTCCCCGACTCTCATGGTGGGTCAAGGATTCTGGACAACAGGTCAGTCTGTCCAGACTGTGGCGAAGCCGCTGTCCACTTGTCGAATTTGGGCCCGACAGCTCACCGGAAAAAATGTCCTGGATCCGACGCAGCTCAACTTCCTCAGCTGGAAATTGTCAGCAACACGGTGTACGGTTGGCTTGCACGAAGCGGGTGTTTGCCTGGAATCGGTGGAAGATGGTGTAAGACTAGGAAAGCGTGCAATGAAGTATTACAGAGTGCTGAATAATGAGTTCAAAAGTCTTAAGCGCTGTGCATGTGTGTGTGAGCCTTGCTTCTCCTCGTGTTAACCTCAACCACTCATGTCTTAGAGGCGGAATCCGTACGTGTTCGTCGTCCACGGGCCGAACACCGCATGGATTCCCATCTGAAGAGCAGTCGAATAAAGTATTTGTTTCCCGGGTGGCCTGCGCCCTAGAAGCAATGGCTTCTAACCTAATAGCGATGATCTTCAGTTTCTGGCACTGCTCGTGGTTGGCCGATGTTCGGTTCTCCAAGCATGACCTAGAGCTCCCAGTCATGTCACATAGCATCAAAACGGCGGCCATGGATTCTGGGGGCGGCAAACAGCCATCGCTGCGACGAACCAAACAAGGACCTTCTTGACCGCACCAAAGTTCCGCCGCCCTCATGGAGGAGAAACTTCCCCAAGGCAAGAGAATTCCAAATCAAAAGACTCCATGGGAGTTGGGCATAACCCCCGATCAGGCCAGAGGTGGTTTACCTGGGATTAAACATAAAAAACAACAACATAATGGAGTGTGTGCTCCTGCGCGCATCCAATGAGGAGCTGTGCATGATCTTCAGGTATTTTGGTGTCCAAGGGCTGACAAGATATCTTCGGCTGAGAACCGCTGAACAAATCCTGCTCCATTCCCTAGGGATTCAAGTACCTTCTCAGAAGGTGATTGGAGACATTACTATGTAGGTTTGCAGGGTCCAGTCGTACCTTCTGACTGAGAAGGTGCTTGGACCCCGCCTAGGGGTTCATGTCTTTTCTCAAGCGGCGACATAGGTTAAAACACCAAAACGGCTTTAACAAAAAGCTTTATTGTTCGTAGCGATGGCCTCCAACCTAGTAGCGGCCTCCACCGTGCGTAGCGTCCGAACGCTACTAAGGCCAAGCGGCGACATAGGTTTGGAACTTCCCAACATTCCGGATGAGCCACGTTTGATCCTCAGCGTTCGATCATGGGATCCGTCATATCCAGTTCGGTCTGTCAGGTGTCGTCTGAATCCCACCTATCCGGACCTACCTTGCCTGTCGATACAAACTGCTACAAATATGTCCTTGCCAATACAAAGGTGGCACTCAAGCAACTGCCCATTCTCCCTTGGCATCACTTCTTCAAAGAAGGAATTGCAGCTTCTTGACAAAGGGAACCTGTGACAGGTCGTTGTCTACAAGGGCAGAAGTACCCCGAAGTACCCCTCACACCCGTAAGTAAGTGTGGCTGTAGCAGTGGCACTTCATGATCCGTCCCTATGTTCAGGTAGCTGTGGAATCCCGTGTTCAAGAGTTTGCCTCCGTACAGCAAAGCAGGAACCGTTTGGAATAAATCCATCGGCTACCTGCTGCGATTCGACCAGTGCCTTCAGAGCCGAACCGTGGACCCACCGAGGTGGATTACATCAGCCCGTGGGCCCGGCACAAGAGAATGGGGGAGGTCTACATGATAACCCCGGTTGACCACCCAGAATGCGAACGAACACTTGCTGCCAAAATCAAAGGGTTGGTGAACAAACACCCCCCCCTCTCCTCCCAGAATGGTCTTACATCTCCATGTTTTGTTTCATTATCCACAATGTTTGGTTCCTCCAAAAAGCACCCGTAGTTCCAGTATCAACTAAACCAGGTCGGCCACGCACCACACTGCAGCCAGCGAGCATGAATAATCTTTCCCACATCGATGGCCCGTGCGTTGCCTCTCAATCTCAAACATCCTGACTCAGCGAAGCTGGCGCCACGCACCACACACGGCACGCACACCACGCACACCGCCGCAGCTCAGCCGTCCAGGCATCAGATGAGTTGTGTCCGGCTGCAGTTTGACGGTCCATGTGATTCCAAATGTGAACATCCCGAGGACAAGGAATTGTGTCCGTCCAACTTGTTCACTTTTTGGTGAATAGAGGCATTGGTGAAAAGGCATTGCATGGAGAACAGCTCTGTTTTCTCTTCGGACCCCACTATCTCACTGAAGCTCACCAATACGTTGAGCCTTTAAGGCTTGGCCAAGGCGAACGGCCAAGGTAGGTAAAGTTCTAGATTGTTGAACGCCCTATGTGGATTCCAAGCGATGGCTTGGAATATGGTAGATCTGTGTGCAACGAGCTGACCACGCACCAATCTGTTGGCCAACAACACTCTATGGGCCTCACAGACCACCTCAGTCCTTACACTGGGACCTGAACTTGACACATCCATAGCACGCAACAGTCCCAGTCTACTGCATTAGACTGCAGTTTCTGGCGCATTGTACATATTCCGTATAATGCTTTACGCAATCGAACACGGGGGGCGAAGCGGGCAACTTTTTGGGGCAGGAAGACGCTGAGTTGTGACTTTTTTTCAATGACCACTAGGTTCTTCTTGCAAGGTTCAAACTCGATCGTTTAACCATGACCTCGTGAACTGAACGGTCTGACTTGCAGGGTATATCGTTGAAGTTGAAGCGAAAAGACAATCTGTAACTCGTACTAGCTGTCTATTTGGAAAAGGGTAGACACTCCCAGACTCCCAGGCGGGCTGAACTGCGGAAGAAGTGGACCGAAAACGTACAACCATATACAAATCCAAATAATCGCATGGATAGCTCGGGTCGTCTAATTAATCTAAAATCACTGTAACACACCAGCTTCGTTGTTTGTTGAACATTAAAGGGGATGAAAATAGCCACGGTACCCTGCAAAGACCAGGTGTAAACCCGAAAGGTACCCGGCCCGCTCATAAATAAATCAACCAACAACACATCACAACTCGTTAGATCCAATTAAACAGCCATTCAAACATCTATATTAAATATAGGGAAATATATTATATACACTTATATCATATTATAATATATATACTTTATATCTAACTATATATATAACATAACCCTGGATATGCGGGGGGGCTTGACCGTGATTTTTTATAGATATGAAATGGTGGTGGTCACCCCCTAGGAGGTATAAAGTGAGCAAACCCCTGTGATTTTATAGAGGATGTGTCCACCCATATTTTATAACTATCTTAGATTTACCAAGCATGAACAGCTCTATATGCACCGACCCACCCAGTCTTCGGACAACCAAACAGAAACACCCACGCCCCTCCGGCTCTCTCTCAGCCGCCTCGGGGTATGTTGAAACATGTTGAAATTTCACCGACCGGGTCCCGGGGAAGACTTGGGGATCTCCAAGGCACCCATCAGAAACTCTTCGATCTCAACCTCACCGCCTTCCTCGGCAGATGGCGATGGCTATAGATGGCTTCGCGAGTCGACTCGCGGAAGCCACGTGACTCCGGGATGGACGAAACAGTCACTCCGCTCGTCGCTCTCCTGTCGAAGATGTGTTTGAAACAGAGGGTCTAAACGAAATCGTGCAGTTACTTGGAGCCGGAAATGCGAAGACCAAGCAACTTTCGGCCAAGCAAAGACTGACCACTCACTTCCGCTGGCTGAAACGATCAGATTGATCAGACCCAATGGAATGTCAACGCCATGACTGCGCTGCGTCGACACCTTGACCAATTACGACTTCCTCTCTGACTCCCTCAGTCTGGAACATTCAGCTGCTGGACGTTCTCCAAAGAACGATCGTCCGTGCTCGGCGTCGGAGTAGACCACAATCCTCAGCGACGCCGAGCATCATCCAAGTCCAGCAACTTGAAGAAGGACCAGGCCTCAGCTGGGGAGAGCCGGGGTTGGCGCTGTAAGAAACGGTACGATACGAAGCGCAATTCGTTTAACCGTCGTGTGAGGTTCGGAGAACGTGAAAGGTCACGACGACCATCCAAGACCAGATCTTCCCCCCAATCTTCCTGATTCACTCCAAAAACCCAGGAGGTGAGATCATACAGATCTTCCTGGAGTCGACCTGTGAGTGAAAGTACCTCAGAGATTTAGGGGTGCAAATGTGTACAAGATGGGTACAAGTAGCTGTTTTGAATGTCCCATTTTCATCCATTTTCTAGGGTACTTTGGAGATCTATAGTTCCATATAATTAGTTCCTATGACAATTGTGAACACTTTTTCAAGTGTTGTGCCGTGCCCTGGTTCAGGCCCGCGACTATTTGACGCTCATATTGAGCCGCCGATGTAGAAGCCCAAAAGCTCCCACAAGCGTGGATTCCTACAAGGAACTTTCCGAAACTTCGGCAACAAGTTACTAGACATGGCGCCCCAAAAGGCCAAAGCTCTTGCAAAATGCCCAGTCCACTAGGCCAACTGCTCTCAGTGCAGTTCTTCCCACACAAACCTGTGAACGACCTGAACACCCTAACACCCTAAGGAAGTGGTGACCTGAAGGGTAGATTTCAGAACTCGTTGGATCCATGGTGCTCGGTCTAAGGACTTTCTTGTTGTCAGAATCACAATTGATTCATGCATAGTCAGAGGCTGCTATAGGGTGTGGCCAATCATCAGAGCTTAGGGCGGCCTGAAGCATTCAAACACCAGCTCCAGGTCCTTTGCGGCCTCCAGATTAAAACAACATTAAAACAACCAAAAGAAAGGGCCTCCAATCAAATCAGCTCAACCCGCCACGCAGTCGCGATTCCGAGGAGATGACAGTTCTGCAATAGCTATCCACACGACGTGATAATCCAAAAGACCAAAAACATGTGGCTCTTCAGCGTTCTCACCACCGGCGCTTGGGACCTCAAAAAACCTCCTTCAACCACACCTGAAAAAAACACCGGTGCTTGGCCCCTCAAAACTAAGCCGATGCCGCCGGTTACCTGGAGGAAAGACCTGTTCACAGCAGCAAATGAGGTCATAGATGGTCATAGACTAAGGTCGACATCGTTTTTTGATCCTGTTTGATTTCTCATGGAACCCGCCAGCAAGCCCACCCCGGCCGTCAAGCGGCATCGTCCACATCCAGGCCCAAGACCTCGAAGTAGGCTTGCACATCCTTGGAGCCTCACTGGACCGGTCGGTGGGTGCCTGTGGTCATCTGGCTTTCCGGAAATAAGACTATGCAATTGAATCATGTCCATGAAATGATCATGGAACTTGACATTTACCCCCTGGAAAGACCATGTTCCTCTACAAACAGGTGTTTTTCCTCCGTGTTAGTGACTCAGTGTGTATGCTTTTTAAAGAAAACTCGGTGCTTCCCAAAAGTGGATGAACTGCATATTCTGTCAGAACATGTCAGAACTTATTGGTTTATACCATGAGTCACCGGTCTGCCTTGTCACAAATTCCAACAAACGTTTGAAAAAAAAAAAACATCCGTCTCCAGTGTCAGCCCACGAGAAATCATCCGTGCAACACAAATGTGTAACTTTTACACTTGGGTGAAAGGGGCACCTTCTACCATTATTTTTGACATGTGTCAGCAAACAAAGAACCCACCCAATGTATTTCAAATCTGCTCGTCACTGTAAATGACTTCACCGTCTTCACCAACCCATCCCAGCATCCCAAAGAGATCCAACACATCAAACTTCTCCGAGTCAGAAGAATCACACACACACCCTCGTATGTGCGCAACATACATACAAAACACACAGAAAATAGACCCCTGTGTCCACCTTGAGAAAAAAAAACAATTAATACATTCCTCTCTCTCCCACCATCTTTTGGTTGTTCATTCCGTTCATCCCACTGTTCACCGCTCTTCTCCGCTCGGCTGCGTCCAGGCAGCTGATCTTTTCCTCGAAGGCCGCGAAGGTGACCACACCATCCGTGCTGTCACCCAGAGTGCCTCGGTGCCGTGGACCGTGTCTTCCGGTGGTCCAAGGGCAAAGGTAGCGAATATGAGCGAATGGAACAGGTAAAATATGGTGAAATGAACTAATTCATACTTATTTGATCCATTCCACCTCGGAAATCCAACTTGTCCTATACCGCAGCCATGCCCGTTTACCTGTCTTGACCGATCGTTCCACCCGTTTACGGAGCCACGACGTGACTCCAACGTTCTGCATTCGGATTTCTTGAAACTTGGAGCTGCCCAAATCGCTTCGCACGAACCTCAACACTCCTCCGGTCCGAAGCCACACACGTGTGGTTTTCCCCCAAAAAAGCGGCCACATATAGGAAGGGCATTTAAAGTCGGGGTGGTTCGACAAATTCTTCACCTCTTTTGGGGGGAAAAAAATACACCGCAGTCGGGGGGGAGGTTGGTACGGGGGGTTAGAAGTTTTTGGTGGTCACGTTTGGTCCTTGCAGGCAGCCTGCTGGGCTTAAAAACGCGCAAGTCGGTCGCCGGTCTAAGCATCCTGCAAGGCCAGCAAGGCCCTCCCAAGAAAGTATGTCTTGGCACCCGACCATGATCACCCAAGCCACCATAAGCCATCAATGGCCCATCCCACACCATCAATCAGCCAAGGGGCTAAACAACTTCCTGGGATCAGGCATCTGGAGACCCCAGTTCAAGGACAATTTGGGTCAATCCCTCCAAGTGGACGATTTTGAAAGAGGCACTCACTGAACAACAAAAAGGAACGTGAAGAAGAAACACCCAAAGGTTTGAAGAATTGGTCCAGAAGGGCCTGGTTCTTCCCGTCCTGACCATCCTGACCAGATTCCGAAGCCTGCTGGTCACTTGTGAGGCCTGGCCTCCCAATTCTTCACGACGGTTTTCGGCCAGGTTTGGTCACAATCTGAAAGAAAAAAAGAACATGCCAGCAGTCACAAGACGGGGTGCTATCCATGGAGGTTAGAGGTGCCCATTATCCACTCACTTAGGGACTAAACACCACCCCGTCCTGTGACTCCTGGTGGTTTCTCTTGTGTGCGGTCTCTGGGGTCAAACGACCGACAGTCCGTCTGTTGAAGAACGACGCAGCAGCTTCTCTCCAGGTGTCCTTAGCTTCTCCACGTGTAGCTCCTTGTTCTTCAGGATGGAATGCACCACGGTGGTGTGATCGTTTTGTGCCGACTCGATGGCCGACTGGCAGAAAACCTCGTGTTACGACGGAACGGCTGACCTGCACGTGACCGGTACATAGAACATCATTTAAGAAAAACCTCCTGGGGTACCGAGAATTCAACCTTTGTTGGGTCCGTCAACCCTGAAATGGACACCTTCTATGGGATAGTCTCCTTCAACCTCTGTTGGAAGCTCTGAAAGGGGTTGTTTTTGTTTTTTCTCAGTGCTTTGCTGCCTTCGTTCAGTGGGACATGTTTGAGGAAACAACGGTAAAACAAACAGCCAACAGCAAAGAATGCCCAACAACATCACAGATTCATCTTAAACATGGTTGAAACAAAAAACCCTTAGCTGTTCAACACATTGTGTGTGTGTCCTCTATATTTTGGGGCACAAGAATGCGCCTTGGGAAGACCTTCTTTGATTCCTATAGTTTCCGCCCACCACGGCTGAGTGTTGTTCCCTCCGAAACGCCGTGGATAGCGCTTCTAGATCTGCTCGTTCACAAGCAGAAAAAAAAAACTGTTCTGACGGGGTCACCGGGGAATTGGTATTGAATGCTACTTGAACTGTATTTGATCCTAGCTTAGCTTGAGTAAATCCGATTCTGCACAACAACTAATGATGATGTTGATGATGATGATTAGTTGATTCCCAGCTACTTAAAGTGGTCTCACAAGATCCTCTTTCACCTCAAGTTACAGTGAAAAGGACAAACCACCCAAACCACATATCTCCAGTGCAGTGCAGTGGGGGGGGGTTAAACCATATTTCAATCATGTATGAACAGGTGAATAGGATAACCAAGCACAAAAAACGTCATTCATTCGGCTTGCACAAGCACTCACACACACACACATCCTTTAACGACAGCCTAAGACTTTGTTTTTCCCACTCCATTCACTGAGCGCACCACGCCCGTCACTACCTCAGTCGAAGGATGGGCACGAGGGATGGGCATGTAAATGTAGCAGTGGTTGTTGCTGTGGTGGGTGGGTTGCAGTGGTGATGGGTAAAGGTAGTGGTAGTGGTGGTAGTAGCAGTAGTAGTATAGTCGTAACTGTTGCTGCTGTCGTTGCAGGTTTTAGCTGCTAGTAGTTGTAAAGCACCTAATAGAAAATGGGAGATGACCCTACCAGAAAAAACAGGTAGAAACAAAACGGTGGTTGTCTTTGAACTGTCCCATATGCGTTTTTCTCCTAAACTGTTGGACCTAAAGTAGCGAGTGGTGCTTCATCCATCAGTGACCTGTAGAATCAATTGGCGCCACACGGTTTGCATCTTGCGGCTTCGCATGCGAAAGGAATCTGCGCCACGGGAGATTTCCCCTGCAACTTCGCACAGCTAAAATCTCAGTCTCGTCGTTGTTCCCGTGAGATTTCCCGTGTGTCCGACCGACATTGTGGAAAAAATGCAAAACTCCAAACCGGACAATGCCCCGAACGATGTGTGCGGGAGGGCGCACGTTCAAAACCGCGAAGTAGGTAAAGGCCTCGGACGGTCATCATCAGCTTTGCCCATGCCCAAAGCAGCTGGTGAATGGGTGAACTAAGACAGGAAGTTGTCTTGTTCTTCCAGAGATCTTGAGTCAAACCAAGGACTTTAAAACAAATCAACTTTCTTTATTGGCCCATATTGTGGGTCAACACATGTCAACAATTGCAAATTATGGTGTTGGCTTGCTATTGTCTCAAGAGTGCCAATGACTCCATGCAAATCTTCTGCGGTTTTGACACCCAAGTCAGAAAGTCAAAAGAAAGGACATGATCTTGTGGCCAAACTCCGATGGACGCTTCCAAAGTCATAAAGCATAGGCCTAGGCCCTCTGTATGATCTCAGGTCTACTTGGCTACTTTAGGGATGTTTAGGGAAGACATAGTTAGACAAACATGATTAAACAAAGATGTAAAGCACGGTATATTCAGCAAACGGAAAACAGGTCTTCCAATATGGCTCACAAGGGTCAATGTTTGGTGAGTGCTTGCTGTGGTGAGTACACTGGGGACAAGGTATGGAACCCTTTCAACGGCAAACAACAAACTTGGTCATCTATCTTTCATCATTGGGTCGAAATATTACAGGAAGCTTCCCTGGCTCCCGACAGTCAAAACCAATACGGGCTATGGCTAGGGGAAGCACCCCCAAGAAAGAAGGCTACTAGTGACATCTAGCAAAAACTTGTCCAAACCTCCTTGAACGCCCTTGAATTTGTATCAAAGGCAGCAAAAGTGCTCATGCTCCCGCAAGTATTGTGAACTTGAGGCCCCATAGCACAGCTGCCATGGCTCTTGCTGCTCGCTGGCCCAAGAATCTTCTCGGACTCTCCGTGCAACAAATACCAACAGAACATTAGACATAGATATGATTGAGGTATTATTCTGCATAGATAGAGATATATATAGACTTAGAATGACTTAGATAATCTTAGACCTATTTCCTAGTTTTGTTCCACATTGTCCTCTCTGAGGACCAAGGATCTATTTCCCAGCCAAGATGCGATATAGATCCTCAGTACAGCGGACTGCATTCGTTGTCACACCGTGTTTTGGAGTTGGTGCCACGAAAGGATGCTTTTGACTGTTCAATCAAGTGAAAGAACAACACGTTCGTCGGGTGGGTTCCAGGGTGGTTCATGTGGATGTGTCTTTATGTTCGCACCCGACGAGAGATTCAGACCGATCACCACCAGACCAAAACCGCCAAGGCCATTCGATACAATTAACTTCTCTGGCAGAGCAGAGACGTCTACCAACAGCCACCGCAATTCCCAAGCACGATGTCCTTTCTAATTCTCAGACACTTCATGTATGCCATATATGCCGCCCCATTGACCCACAAAACCACCCCAATGAATGTAGGCAAATATACCAATCCCATTAGTCGTGTCGTGTCTGGGATTGAAGTCTTTTGTGCCCCATGCAACCGTGATGGCATCTGGAGGTCACTGCACGCACCGTGAGGACGCGCCGGGAGTGACGCCGTGAGGTCACTGCACGGGTCGGTCACTCCCGATTCCACTGGATCTCTACCTTTTGAACACAGACGCGACTGGACTTCCCTCCATATCGCAAACGCTCCATGGGACTGGACTATACTATATGTTGCATACATGGAGCATACCTGGGTATGTCTGACAGTCTGGGGTTGATTGATTGATCCGGGGTCAACTGATCCCTGATTGGCCCAATCTGACGGAGTCATCGAGTCCTTGGCCAAGGGTTGTGGCACCACACCCTGGTTTTTCCAACCAAAAATGGAATAGACTACTAATTGGAGAAATAGACCCACCATATGAAGAGGATGTAACCTGTTCAACTGAGAGTGGTGATGAATTAATCAAGACTCTACATTCGACATGTTCAACCTACCTTTGGGTGAGCTGACTGAGGCTTTAGGTGCCATATCACCCATGACCCATGCCGTCCAAGCCACAAGTAAAGACCCACCCATGCCTCCGAGATGGTCCTGACAGAGGCCGTGGCCGTCCCAGAGAGGCCGTCCGGAGAGTACTATGTAGGTGCTTGATTGGTGCAGTCCCGAAACCACCAGCTGGGGTGGTGGAAAATGAACTCAGCTACTAGTAACCATAGTAGCTTCTTGTTATGTCCGTAGCGATGGCATCCAACCTACTTGACCTACAGCAATAGCGTCCTCCACCTAAGATTCCCAACCGAAATCACTCCCTGAACTCATTCTCCCAAACGTGAACCCGAGGTCGCCCAGCATCATCCTCTGGAGACATTCGGACACCGAATCCAGACTGGAGGGTCTGGGGTCGAACCCAGGTGTTTCTCGCCAATCCCTATAGGTGTTTGAGGGACCTATCGGATAGTGTTCTCGCGGTCTCGCGTCTGGGGACTTCAAGGACTTCAAGGGTCATCAGTTTTCTTGGCTGTTCTGGGAATTTGCAGATTTTTCTACACTCGCCGGTTTATCATCATGGTGGTGGAAGTGGATGGCACCACCACCTCACCACCTCTTTGGTCTTCCGATGTTTTTGGATTTGCACCACCAGGCCATCCATGTAACCATGACTCTTTCAGGGAGTGTAAAAAGTTTGGAGCATAATGGAGCATATAATCCTTTGGCAAAACCATGAACTATAATGATCCACAGTCAAATAATATGGGTTCGATGTTCTTGAACGACCTTCTCTCCATCAAACATGGAGAATTGCCCTAGTCAAGACTGGTTGCTTGCTTTCTTTCGACTGGGTGTGTCCACCAATCCACGTGACCATGTCTGAAGCCTTAGACTCGTTGGTAACACCTGAAAAGAAAACCGTCCACCCCACGACACCCTTCGTCCAACCGTGCGAAGCAGCACCGACCGTCACGAAGGCTCCGTGCTAAAGCGACGAGTGATGTAGACTGATGATATTTCACCCCCCCTTAGGCCTCAAGAGGGTTTACCATCTGCGTTGTTGTTGTGGTTCAGAATTCCAAGATCTACTAATACTACCTATAGTACCAGTGGCCCTCAAAACCATGAAACAAAAAACATGTCTTTTTTGTGGAAAACCAGGTGATGGGCCATGTGCGGCAGTAGTGCCTCCACTCCGTGGAGGCACACGGAGATCACCGTCGTTCGGAGGACCGGCGACGACGGGCGCGCCAGCGCTCCTTAAAGGCGGAAGCACCTCTCCCCAGCTCACACCACCCGCGATGCTCATGAAGCACGTCAGCATCGTCTTGTCCTCATCAGATCCCCCCCAAGGATAGTGAACCTGTATGGACCACCCATTGGTAGGGATCCAGGAAGGTATACCGAACCTCAGGAGAAGGTACGACTGGACCAGGTTCCGTGGCACCTACGTACTAGCAGGCTTAGCAGTGTCGAACAGATCACAGGGATCCCTCAGAGGATGGATCCGGAGAACAAACACCGGTGCCATCTCTCTCGGCCGTGGATCCCATAAGGTGTCTGAAGTGACTTCAGTCAGACGACGTCCAACCGGTCCCTTCGACCGAATGAGGTTATGGGTTACCCTAGCCTTGAGATCATAGATGACTGACAAACCCATATGATTCATATGATGATCTCTTCATATCTCTTCCGGTTTAAATCTCTTGGAACATGCATGAACAAAAACGTTGCACTCCTTTACCGTGAGACAAACATGCATTCCCTCTCTCTCTCTCTCTTTCTACTGCTCTCTACTGCCTACATACATATACACATACAAAGCAAGCAACAAGGGTAACTGACAATTGCTGGGTCATTTTGCATTCGCAAAACAACTCAAAACATGGTCATCCAAAACTCTGATCGTCCACTCGTTCTCTTCACCGAGCTGGTCGGGTGAGCTTGTTGAAAAGGTCGGAACATGTTTGGGCCGGGCCCGGAAGAGGCTTCAGAAATCATCAACAAACCACCATGCGGATCAAATGTGCTAGAGCGGGGTTGGAGCAGCGCCGACCTTTGGCCGGTTCAGGTCCGGTTCTGATTCCGACAGACAGGTGGATGGACGCAGTTGGACGAACCCGGACGAATGAAGTCAGGGGCCAGGGGTGGCTTTCAGGTCTGTCTTTGACATCTCTGGCGCACCACTCTCCGACGGAAGATCGAACGATCCAAGGTGCCAGCGACCCGAAGTACTGCCCCGCCGCCTCAGGTCGAGCCCGAACAGCTGGGGACCAGTCGGACGCCGCACCGGACGTCGGTGTTTCGTCGGGGGAAGGAAGGGTTGACCTCCCTTACAGGTTCTATATCCTCTGAACCTCAAGCAGGTTTAGGCAGGTTCACATGATCTACATGACTCGGTGGTTTAAGAGCTGTGCAAAGGGATCCATACCTCGACTCCACCTGTGACAGTACCTCAGTAACATGGATGAAAACAGGTGCAAAAGTATAGAATTAGTTCTGTTCGGGGCATGTCCTATTTTCGTTGAGTTGTCGGATAAAGATCTGTTGAACCGAAGGTGTTAGCTTGGAGCTCCATGCTTGGCTGACTGGAGACTTGTTTGGGTCACTGGAGACGTTGACGGGGGTCGGGAAAGCCCACGGAGTGACCTGTGGGGTAGGTGTTGGTTTTGGGGGAAGCCACACTCACACATGAGATCCACTCGAATGCCTCTGGATCAAATAAAACATCTAACAACGGTCATGTCTGGTAGTCCATGTCTGGCTTCATTCAGAGGTGGACGCGGAAGTCCTTCCAGTTTTTACTCAGACCCGCGTCCTCGCGTCTTCCCAGTTGTGCTGAACGTCGAAAATGGCTCCAAATCGTCTGACCGGGATGGGTTCATCGATTGACTTACATCGGGAAGAAGCATGCATGGAACCTGAAAATGGACCTAAATGGAAGAATAAACATTGAGATGAATTGTGCATGTGCTTTTGATTTCAAAAAAACATAATCAGGATATACGTGGATGCAGTGAGATATCTCTCGCCACCGGGAGAGATTCGCCACCAAAAGGCCACACTCTCCAGCTCGGTCATGGCAGAGCCAAAGTCCAGGAGAAAGTCGTTCACCGCCTTTCGAAGACTTGGAGCCAAGTCGTTCACCGCGCAAATGAACTGGATCACCATATCCCAGACACGATCTGTCTGGGACTGCCAGTCCGGACTGCCGATCAATTGGGGTGGCTTGAAGGGTCAATTGATCGGCAGTCCTATGGCAGTCCCAGACAGATCGTGTCTGGGCAATGAGGATCAGTGTTGGATGTATGGATCATCCGAAGATATCCAAAGACGTGATCATGTAGTGTTTTTGTCTTTCCCCCAGATGGCACAAGCTGACATCACAAGCTACAGTGATTTATATAAGTGGATTTCTATAGAATAGTCCGATGGCGACATGGATGGGCCCAGTGCCTGAAGATGTCAGCGAGCCCCCGTGACGCATCTCCGACCAGCTCCGATCCCGTCGCATGACATGTCTAGACGTCGGTCCTCGGTCGAATCTCATGTTCGTCACATGACCGAAGTGAGCTTCACCTTTGTGACGTTTCGTTCGCTTCTTGTTGCGTTCGTAGCACGGCTCCGAGCCCCATTCGTGGCGTCCGAACGCTCCGTTCGTAGTATGGCCAGGAGCCCCGTTCGTAGCTTTTTGTTTCGATTCACTGAATTCAATGGAATGTTGCATGACATACCCTAGGGATCCACTGGCAACCTCTTTTTGGTACTGCGATTGGAGACACGAGTAGGTTTGAATAGGTTTGGAGGGTCAAGTCGCACCTCCTGAGAGGTACTTGGATCCTTGCGGGGATATATGTTATACCTAGAGACTCCAAATGCACCAAAATTTCTGCCACCTCAGCAAAAAGCGCCTTTACCCGTAATTTGCCCTGAAAAAGGGCATTCGGCGTAATTTGCTAAAACCAAGATAGACTCGGCGTTTTTGGTTTTTGAGGTTCTTGAACATATTGATTGGTTGATTAGATGCAGAACCAATCCGGGTTGTGGTGATTCATGATAACTCGGCTCGACAATCCTCTAGGGATCAAATACCTGGTGAACCGGGCATTCTTGAGGTGCGCCCTGGCTGTTCACGCCCAGTGTTTTTCTTCAGTAGTTCCTACCTCTTGCCAAGCATTGTTGGCTTAGGGATTCATGGTAAACACTCAAATCCAGCCATGGATCCGATCAAGGAAACCGTTTATTCAACTCATAGAAATAGAGAAGGCCTGGCAGAAATGCCAAATGGTTTCTGTGGCCCGAGGCAACCCTCTTCCCTGATTTCCTATTAGTTATTGCAGTGGCACAAAGCTGTTGTTGAACATATTCGGTGAATGGAAAGATTTGATTCCATCACCAAGGTGAAAGTTAGTGGATTGTGCATGGACCATGCATAATTCAACATAAACTCACCGTGAACCAACCGGGCACCCTCGCGTGAAATCGTGGCAGTCAAGTTGTTCGCAGTTTTCCAAAGTTTTGTCATCCCTAGATCTCGGCGTAATTGCCCGATAATTCGGCGTAAATCTCCGATAATTCGGCGTAATTGCCCGACAATTCGCGCAATTGTCCGTAACCATGTTTTTGCTTAGTCGGGGTTTCCTATATAAGAATCAACATCTTGGATGGCTGGAAAGAACATTGTTGTTGGCCCAATAGTTGCAGCTGTTCTACAGCCACCCTTGTCAAGGGAGGTTGGATCATGAAAGGGCGAAGCGGCAAAGCATTCTTTGGAGAGTGATCCGGAGAAGCAAAGACAGAACTTTGCTTGCCTGGATTGGCCTTTCAAGAAAGCCCTAGGGGAAATATCAAGAACGTCCGGAAAACAAGGCATGCACTTAGGCAAACATTGTTGGATCTTTCAAGTGTGTTCTCTGTAAGCACTCCCAAACTGTGGATTAACTATCTCTTTCCCCAGGTGCAAGGATTCCAAGGTATCCAAACTGTGGATGCCAATCCCTCGGTTCTCATATGTAAGCCCAAACTGTGGATGGTCACCCTGTGGTTTGGCTTGGGAAAGGGGCGGGGAAGGGCTTGGTAAGACTGGCAAGATCTGGCAAGTGCTGGTTTGAGAATCTAGCAAATGAAAACCATTAAAGTCGGCAGTTTTCATATTGCTCGGCGTTATTTTTTGGATTCGGCGCTTTTCGATGAATTTGGCTGAAATCAGGGCACAATGGTGCCTCGGCAAAAATTTCTGCCAACGGTTCCTCTAGGTATGTCAAAAGCCATATATGGGGAATGGGGAGGGTTCATGAATACATTCCCTATGGATCCAAGTACCCTCTGAGAAGGTGCTTGGGTGGGTTTGGAGGGTCCAAGTACCTTTTGAGGAGGTACTTGGACCCCTAGGGATGAATACATTTACATCTCCCCAGACCAGCGGACCCGACCACAACGAAGTTTCGACCCTGCATGGAAGAGCGCAGCAGTTTGTTTACACAAAATCGAATCTTCACTTTTTGAGATCTTTGGAGTTGTTGGTTCTTAGAGCTCTAGAAGGAAACTCCATGAAATGCCGAGGATTCTTAGGCTCTGCTCGATCTTCGAGACTCGTTCGCGAGATTCCAGGGAATTGACTCGGAACTTCCCCTGGTTATAAGGTGATCCCCCAGCGCGTCAAAGAAAAACAACGAGCCAGTTCCTGGTGATTCTCGCTGTTTTCTGGGTAGGTCATCTGTACTTCTTTTCGGTGGTGTACCGGTCAGCAGAGGCGAGTGTGTAGTAGAATAGAGACCCCATGCTTGAAAAAGAGTTTAAGCATCTACGTTGCACTTTGCCGGGGTCCTTTCAATATCGGACGCTTTGGGTTGCATTGCTAGTTGGTGGGAGCTTCCAAGCGATATACGAGCTCTTGAAATACTGTCAAACTCGGTCCAGCTGTCAAACAAATACCCAAACCCCCTTGCGTAGGTCTGTGGAAGTTGAACATGGACTCCCCGTGAATGCCCTGTCTTCTTAGATGCTCCAAGCTGCATGTGAGGTCTTCGTCAGCTCGTACCTTTGCTTTTCTAACCTGTTCCCCATTCTTCCCCAAACAGTTAGGGCCGTTAGGGGTTCTCAATTCTTTCCTATTGTCCCCACCTGTTTGGGGTCTACCGTGACCGTCATCGCACCGCGACCCCCCACGTTCCACCGCGCAACAGAACAACGACCTACACCGACACCGCCCCGTCACTGGGTCGGTCAAGCTGCGGTTTTCGTTCCGAGCTCCAGGTGCCATGACCCACAAGCTAGTATCCCATGGGGTCTATCCGAGTCTACCTGGGACCAGTGGATGATGATGGTTAGTGGCCTTGGGCCTTGTCTAAAATTAGTGATAATTGCTTACTAACTGTTACAGGTACAAGGACAAACCCTACACATACCCCTGCGAACGAAGTGAGGGCGACTGGGGGCGTCTGCCCCCAAAACGGCGCAGACGCAGAAGCGGAACTCGACACGGTGTCACCGGTCTCCTGCGTAAAGAGGACGGCAAAGACATACCTCGGAGGACCGAAGTGCCGACCCCGGTGACCGTTCGCGTTCTCGGACGGATCCGCGCCTACGACGGGACGATCCGCGGGAATCCGGTGTACGACGGGACGATCAGGTAGGACCCGACCCGATAGGGTAGCTACAGAACGGTCGAAGGCATCACCAGACCTGAGAGGGTGCCAGTGGATCCGGACTGTGGTTCCTGGGCCACGCGGTCTTCTAGTGGTCTGCTCTTGCTGCTCTGGTGGGTGGTCTTCGGTGCCAGGTTGTAAACTGGAAGCGTGCCTCAACCAATCCTAGACACTCCATGTATGGCATATTTACCTACATTGGGGTGGTGCCAGAGGGGTCAATGTAGGTAAATATGCCATTCATGGAGTGTCTGGGAATTCGTTGAACATGTTCTTGAAAACCATTTCAGCCAGATCCAAAGCTGCGGTGTTTCAGCCATTGTGAACGTCATTTTGAGTCCGATCATGGCACACGGCTGTTGACCAAAAAACCATGGCCCCACTGTCATCGCCGCATAGAGGGGTAAGTGCAACATGAAGCATGAAGAACTCTTAATCACTAGGGCTCCTGGCCTACCTCCGTTTCGGTTCAGTTCGGTGGGGTTCCCTACCCTCAAGGTGTGATTGGAGCCCTAGTAGGAAGAACTCGCTCCCTATGTCAGGATGCAGCGTATTTTACTGATCTATCTTTGTTCTCACTAGTAGGGAACTGGGAGTCACGGCCCCATTCATCCATTATTCCATATACTGCCGAAACTTTCCAGAGAATCCCAGACTGAGTGCATTCCTCTTGTTGGCAAAATAAACAATCATGAATATAATAACAAGTATATAACCGGAGCAACTTTTGGGCAACACCGTATGTAATAGAATAACAACCGGAGCAACTTTTGGGCAACACTGTATATTTCCTTTGCTTACACGTGGGCTATCATCCCAATGATTCCTGTCTTGGTGTTGGGTCCATTACCACATGAAACACATTGAAAAACATCTCATGCATGACTGCAGTCATACATCAAGCATCTCTGTATGCTGAAGCTTTACTTCCAAGCCACATAATGACGATCAGTAGCATACACGCCCAAAAGAGCGACTTCAACCTTCGGATGGAAGGACGCTCTCGAACACGTCGCAAACAATTCGTGCTCCACATGAGAACCATGGTGTTGATGTATATGGTTCATTACAAAGCAACCAACACAGTCACATATCTTCCAAAAGCCCTCGCAAACCGTCAGAAAACACTCGTTTGCCCTATTGTTGGGGCGGCAGTCGTACCAAAAGAATAACCATTAGACGCTGGACACCTTCTCTCCATTGGCACTGTCAATAGCTTGAGAAATACCTCTGCGTTCAATAACAGTTACCCAGTTCCCTGATGTTCCATGCCCAACTTGGAGGAAGTCAGGGTGCCCATGATCCATTCACTTGGTGATTCAATACTTCTTAGTATAACTAGAAGCTACTAGGAGCAAAGGGCATTTCTACCAGGAGCAAGAAGCTACTAGTAGCTCTTGGCCATACTACTGGTAACTAGAAGCTACTAGTAGCAAGAAGCTGCTAGGTGGAGGCCATCGCTCTTATCTTGGAGGCCATTACTACTAAGGGAGCAAGGTTCGCTACGAACGTAGCAAGGATGGTGACTCCCCGTTCTCAGCGATCCGTGCCACACACACCCAGCGAATCCGCCCCCATTCGCAAGAACGTGCCCCCGAGCGTGTAGATGATCGAGGTAATCAACGTTCGGAAAGCCATAACCTGAGGTGCAACAGAAAACGGGATGTCTTCATCCGTCTTCCCAAGACCACCCAGTTCGGGTACAAGTACCTGCTTTTTACCCGAAAGCACCTTTTTCTTGGAGAAGGAGAACGGCTGCTAACTTCAACTATCCAACAATGCCCCCCCAAAAGGGTTAAAAGTTATCCACTTTTCCTGTCCTGCAATTGAGGATTTCCATTTTGGGCCACCACCCAGTCACTCACCTACCGAGCGGGTTTCACCCCCCCACTCTACCTAAATGACCAAAGAGATGGTCGAGCCATAACATGGGGCGGTTTTGGGGTTTCAGGGGAACTCCCAACCATCTCTTCTTGATGGCCCAATATATCGAGTCATCTGTTGAGTCATTTGAGAATTGAGAGCCTAGCAGCGGAGTCTACCCCTTTTTTTGTGCCAATCAACGGGCGACCGTGGAGAGCTACACCACGAACCGACCTCATGCGACATGTTATACAGAAATCATCCACTCAACAGTAGCCATTCTGGAGATTCTGTGGGTAGTTGAAAAACGTTGCCATTCAAAACGTGTTTAGTTGCATTTTCACAACCATTCACAACCATATGCTGGTATCGGTTCACTTCAGTAACACTTCAAACAAACGTTTCTATCTGTTTCTCTTGTCAGGTGGGCAGGAATTCCAAGAAATATCACATAAAATGCTTGAAGAACTGCACTCAAATTGGGCTCCTCAACTCCCCAAACAGCCTTTGAAAACCAGTCCGCCAGAATCGATACAGTGTGTACCTCTAGTAGAGTACTGCTGGAGGTTCCATCGAGAGGCAAGGTGTGTGTTTCATCTTGGAACATGGACTCCTATTTAAAACAAACAAACAAACAAACAAACAATCTGGAAAAGCAACAAATTGGAGATATTCTTTAAGAAAAGAACAGCCGGTTGGTTGGTTAGTTGGTTTGGTCAATTTGCTGAAATTCTCCCCCGAACTGTGCAAAACAATCAACTGTGGCAGATCTTCTCCCAAACGACATAACTATGTCTGTCATGAACAATCATGTAGACTCTTAATGAAGACAACCCCTCACTTGGATTGAAAGACCTCTTGATGTATCTAAACATGTCTAAATCATCGCCTTGTTGGCGGATCTCCACCTCAGACCACCTCGCTCCAAACCGTGGCCCGAGGAGCGAAGCGGAAGACCCGCATGAGGCGAATCGCCTTTAGGATGCGGGTGATGCCTCGGGCGCATCGACCGATGCGGAGGGTCCCAAGGGCCCGTCTGAGTCGGTTCCTGAAGTGGTCCGAAGAGCGGGTGCCAATCCAATCCCGGGATCCACTGCCACCGAACCTCAAAAGGTATTGATTTGAGCCCTCCTGGCGCCTAAATAAATAGTCTCCAATCAGCTTCTCAGAAGGTATGTGGATCCATAGGGAATGGCTTTCCTCTTCTATTCCATGCGCAGTGCCAGGGAGTTTGAGGGAGAGTAATCCTGAGAAAAGTGATGAACAGTTCCACCTGTTGAACACATGTGACCAAGACATACCAAACAAAACATAATGACAAACTCCATGGACGTCATACAATTGTAATACATGGTGCTACATGAAACTATATGAATGTACAGGGAATGTACTCTATACCGGGTGTCTAATGGACTACCCCATACCACTTAGGGAGCTTCATTGGACACCCATCGGATGGTCCTGGTATATCTGGTATAGAGAGATCATTACACTAGAGAATAGGTCCGGGTGCATCCCATTTCTTGTTGGGTCCCGGTATAAATCATGGTTCAATCATCAAAGGTCAACGTTCATTTCTATGTAAAAAAAAGACACATCGACTCTAAACCCAAGTCGTGGTAGTTCTCCTTCACCACCGCTGACGAGTTCGTTCCCTCGTGCCCTCGTTCCCGTCTCCGAGTGGCGGATGATGCGTAACGCCTTGAGGCCCGAGACACCCACGACTTCTCCGATCTCCTGGAGCGGAACCCGGAGACCCGGCAGAAGCGGAAGCGGAGGCCGATGGTGCGGGTCGAACCGGCGGGTCCGAGGGCTCTCGGTCACGGTGCTTGGTGGATCGCTGCCAGGTTATAAACCTCTTGGCACGGTCCGGCCAGGGGTCGATTGCTTTGCTTTTTGGACTCGGACTCCTGTGAGTGGAGGGGCCCTGAGCATCCCGAGGGATATGGTTTGACAGGGAAACATCATGAAACATCTGGGTTTCCCCACGTGGGGCGTGGAGAGGGTGAGAAACCTTGCATTCTGAAATAGACCTAGCACTTCCAACGGGTGCCCTGTCTGGAGACCTGTAAGTGGGGTAGGGTAGCCTAGCCAGGACACCCAGACAGGATGATCCTGGGATGTTCCCATTCAACCATTCCCAAGCACGACCTGTCCAGACCATACACTCCATAGAAACTTCCAGGTGGTGGTTTGATGTGGTTTGAGGGGGTCAATGTAGGTCAAGATTCCAGTGCCAAACAGGTGGCAAACCTCTGGGAGTTGAACCATGTCATGCAGCACTGGGTCGTGTCTTGCTTCCGTTGTGGAAACTTTCTGGCTACCGGAGTCGACAACATGAACTGTCAAAGGGCTGGCAACTCCTTTGGCTTGGATTTATGATCCATCCTGAAACCACCGTACACTATAGATGATCTCATCTACTGTACGTACTCGGTCATTTGCTTCAAGCATGGCATCGCTCTCCACCAAAAGACCTCGGGCACTTCCCATGACCAACGGGGAAGAAGTTGCCTGGTTCTTCCGTGAATGACTAAACTTGATCCCCTGGATGGTTGCTTCGGTCACTTATATAGGCGCTTTAAATTGGCATTCGATTCAGAGGTCGAAGCGGTTGGTGTGAATTTCGATTCAGGGGCAGTCCAGACTTGTCTGGCCTACGAAGGTCTCAAAAAATCGCGCGGCAAGTCCACAAAAATCCTCCGTCTCCATGAAGACATAGGTGAGATCCACTGCGACCTGCGGTCGATTGGCAACGAAAAGGTCCGCGTGGCACCGATTGCCTTAGACAGCAAAGGCAGGACAACCCAAACCACGTCTTGTCTTTGGGATCAAACCGTACCTGTATCCTGGGTCTTGGGGGGTGGGAATGGTAAACAACAACAACAACAACAACAACAACAACATGACATGACATGACATAGCGTGACATGACAGCAAGGCTCCTCTTCGATCAAAACACGTCAGAATTGTTTTCCTTTACGTCGTTTGCTTGCATTGAAGGCCTCTTTTTGGATTACAAATCTCGTCCTCTAGACTATAGACATGTTCAGCAAAGGAAAGCAGAGTAGACAAGAACTACCGATTGCTGATCCGCTCTAAAACCCGGTTGACCGACTGTGGAAGACCGGATCTGGAGCCAAGGTGACCCCCAAAAGGATTTCTGTAGGAAATGCAGTGGGGAACACATGATAAAAGCCACTCTCCAGACATGTTGAAGGATGTGGAAGGAATTTGAAGGATATCCATTTTCCCATAACTCTGTTTTCCTGAAGCCAAGGAAGACCTCCACTTCACTAGGATCTACACCCGAAGCCTCCGCCTTGTTCTTCTCGCTCCATGCCCAGAAAGTTTCCAGAATGGACCCGCAGCCCAACCCCCCGTGTCGAACCATGGGTCCAAAGCGGACCCCTCGACCGCATCGCTTTGCCGGACCCCGCACGCGCTAGACATACAGAGATCAGCGCCTCCCACAAGGAGGTCAAGACCACAAAGACATCCAGCCAGGCCCACATCCAGTCCTGTCCACATCCGCTCGCCGCTCCGCCGCTCGCCCCCGAGAAACTCGGTGAGTCCACTGCGAGCCGCGAGCCCCGAAGCCGGAATCTGCAGTCAGCGAGCGAGTCGAAGCATGGTCAACTCTTGGAGTCAACCGAAGTCACAGTGAAGGTACCGAAAAATAGGTGTCGTATTTCACATTACATGTCGTATCCTGTATTTCTATTGGTTTAAGTCATCTCCAATTTTCTAGAGGACTTTGAGACTCCAGGTGCAGACCGAAACCCAACAGAATCCCCTGATCTGGAAACCCTCTAACTCACCGAGCAGCTCACCAAACACAGCAGCTCAGACTCGAAGAGCGGCGCATAACTTTGTCCTGGATGCCTCTTATCTTTGGCTACATATCTTATACAAATTTCAGGTACTGAGGCCACTACAGTGGTTTCAGAGTAGATGGCCCAACCCCCTCGATGTCCTGTAGATGGGGGTCCATATAAACCACCTTCTAGAGGGATTGTGCCATCTACTCTGAAACCACCGCAAATTCTGGGGGAATTGCTTGTCATGTCATACACGTCATGTCAAAGGCCTACACGGAAAGAGTTCCTGCTGTCTCCCCAAACCATCAGTGGACCCTCCTGCAGTTTATGATGGTTTTGACCCTGCAAGCATCGCGGTTTGGACTCCTTCACCAGTCTCTTCACCAGGAAGAGACTGGGTCCATTCTGGGCATGTCACCGGACCCGCCCAGCAGTTACATCTCAACGACTTTCACCATGCTTCGTGACAAAAAACAGCCAAACACGGCCAGAAATCGCCAGCTTTTGTTTAAGATGGTGAAAGCATGGGAAAGCATTTGCTGTGTGAAATCTGGGACGCAGCAGTTCTTTCAGTGGTTTGGTCAAATGAATCATTCTCTCAGCCCTTCATGATCACTGTCTCAGGGTGGAAGACGGCTCTCCTCGTTACAGAAGAGGGCACGACCATCACAAGCGATGCGCAGGCAAAGCTCAAGGAGGAACCACAGTGTATAGGCCTTGGCGGGCTGATGCGGGCTGGGTATGGATCAGGAGCTTTACTGTTCTTCCATTTTCCACGTCCTGAGGACGTCCTTCAATCTCGAAGGGCCCCTGGGGATTCCGGTTGGTAAACTGAGAGGCTTTTGAAAACGTGTCGAAGGCTTTCCCACAGCCCTGGAACATCTCGGCGTGTCCTTTTGGTAACTTATAGGTGAATGGATGTTCTGTTCGGCACCGCTCCGTCCCGTCCGTCCAAGTTCGGTGCGACAGGAACCCGAACCGGGATGACCTAGAACCCAAACATGACCCCTGTTTTGATAGGATATGATAGCCTGAGCCCCCAAGTGGAAAAAAATGCAACTTTCAATAGTGGTTTTCAGCCACTTGTCACTTTTACCACCGTTGACGCATTGTGTAATATTTTGGCGCAGTGGCAGATTTCTACCGGCAACGTGTGAGAAGTGGCAAGTTCAATTTCTTGTCATTTTTTCAACATGCATTTTGGAAGGAAGTCTCGTGCAAAATGCGTTTTTGAGTGATATGCACGAAATGTTGTGGTTTTTCCATACAAAGTGTGTCCCCAAACCTGGAAAGTCAAGCTCTGCGGAACGACGGTTTCCGGACGGTCTGGCGTCATGCTCGGATCATGCTCGAATCGTCCCTCCATTGTAACTAGAGTTTTCACCTGTTTCTTGCGTACGTGCTGTTGATGGAATTCCATTGTTTTTTGCAACTCCTGGATCGTTTCCGCACTGTAAATGTGACTGCAAGTGTTGCTGGTGGATGAGTTGTCGCTGGAATTTCATTATGTGTTGCAACTTCAGGATCGTTCCGTGCTGCTGATGGAATTCCGTTGTGTTTTGCAACTCCTGGATCATTTCCGCACTGTAAATGTGACTGCAAGATACTGCAAGTAATGCTGGTGGATGAGTCGTCGCTGGAATTTCCATTGTGTTCTGAACATTCAGGATCGTCTCCACCGTTGGGCATCATCATCATCATCATCATCATCATCATCATCATCATGATCATCATCATCATCATCATCATCATCATCATCATCATCATCATCGGTGTAGTCATCACAATCGCTAGCATCATCATCACCATCGTCCCCACCGTCATCACCATGCCCAGAAGTGCGCCTTTCTGGGCGGCCAGGCTGCGTGTGACAGGGGTGCGGGAGCGATGATTGGATGACTGTTTGGTCGCAGACCGCACGGCGTGTGCGAAGGGACACTCCGGATGCAGAGCTATAGGTCAAATTGTTCTTATAGGAAACTTGAGCCGCCGGCTTGCCCGGGAACTGCTTGTATGCAAATCTGACAAACAGGGCTATTCCTGCGTTTTGTTTCCAGTTTTTCGTGAATCTAAACATCTTCTATTTTGATGTCGAGTGATGAAGGAAAGGCAAGGCAAGCCATGAGCCTATCAGCGGAGTGGTATTTTCCTTGACTCCCTCGACATGGTGTAGCTGTGCCTGACTACATCTGACTCTACCACAATATATAACTAACCTGCCCGCACATTTAAGCGCTGCTAAATACGCACAACATGCCTTTAACCCCAAGCATACACACGTGCATGTGTGACAAGTTCATATTTGAGACGCCCGCAGAAGTGTCACCCTTGTGAAAAGTTGCACATCCCTTTTTGTCCAGATCGGAGCGTAGGAAACCTACGGAAATTGACCACTTTTTTGCGAAAATTTCGCCGCAGAACGGTTTTGCGCAAAACCAAAAGTGGTAGCTTTCTTTTGCTTGTCCAATTGGGCATACTATAGCTTCTACTCATATAGGCTTCAAATTGAGTAGCTCGGGTAGTCAAGGGTTCCACGCCGCCTTTTCATTTTCTGTCAAATTCTCCGAAAGATTCATGGGATATGTTTGTCGGATATTCTGGGCCAAGATATTGAAAACCAGAAGCCGCCTAAAAGTAAATCCCGCTGATCTTCTCGAGGTGGGTTCCAAAGCCACCACCTAGCAAGCAAATAGATTTATATAGACAATTAGGAAGCATGCCTGCATGCATGATACACGCATCTTCACACAGGTCTCAGGTCAAGAATGCCAACATGCACAAAACAACAGCATGCACGTCACGAGCAATGACCAATTATTATCATGCAAGCAAAGGACATTTGATAGATATATATATATATATACATGATGGGCATGATAAACATCTGCAAAGATCATCGAATGACTCAATTCCATCAAACTAAGCATAAATCACACAGCACGCAAAGGGTCCCATCAGGCATCGTTATTGACCAAGGATTAAAGTTGCATTTTGGAAGGGTGGTGAAATTGAAAGTTGCAATTAACATCCTGACAAATGTGTGTGAGGGATCAAGGACAAGTTGCATGTTTTTTTCTTTCTGCCACTGACGGCGGTACAGGAGGATAGGACCATATGTGTTATTTTTATTCAAAATAGCGGTCGCTCAGGTTCTGTCACCATCCTCTGCCTTTGTTTCAGCTGCAAATCGTAGAACTCTCAAGTCTCAAGTCCGAGCCGCGTAGCCGATGACCTGGCGTAACATCACAGTCACTGGCGCAACAAGGTCGACCCTGGTTCCCTCAAGTTCTGTTGGAAGGAAAGCGATCAAGGACAAAATGCTCCTCGAAAAGGGCACTTAGGAAGTGCCAATACAATACCAAAGAAAACAAGTACTTCTCCTTCCCAGAAGAAGGGGACTTCTCACATCACTCCGTCTTCTCTGTTTTCGAAAATTTTGGTGGGACTGGTGGGTGGGTGGCTGCCTCAAGGGGTCTAGAACAGTCTGTGCCCACCGAACCTGAGGAGATGGGATGGGCCATATATCGTACACATTCGTACACCCACTACTATCTTCAACTTCAAATGAATCAAATACAGTAAATAATCTTTGGATGTCTCCCAGTTCTGACAGATCGGAAAGCAGATACTACTCAAAAGTCTAGAAACAATACAACGTCATCCTGCCTCATGCGTTGAGAACACGACTTCAACCAATTCTAATTACCCTATAGATTGGACCCGACCGCTTCTGGAGGGTTTTGACCCTGCTTTTGGCCTGAGGTTTGGACTCCCGAACCAAATCTTCACCGGCTCTTCTCAGGTCCTTGATTCTTATACCAGGACCTTCCAACAGGTGGCTTTGGAACCCTAACACGCCTGACAGGTGGTTTCTAGGCACCGGACTTGTCACCAGGAAACACCTGTTGGAGGGTCCAAATAGGGCATGACACCGGCATGCAAAGCAATGCCAAGAGCTTTCATATGTGTTCACGGTGTTGGGCTTGTTTTGCCTCCATCTCCCAGACCTGTTCTGCTGTGGGACTGGCCTAGTTCACAGTCTTTGAAAAGGGATCGAAAACAGCAGCATTCTGACTCGCTGTCCCATGACTAGTGGTTTTCTTTTGCTGAAGACATTCTGCTCGTCAGCGCAGCGCTGTAGGGCTTGGCGGAACTCCGGGCTACGTCGCTCCAAGTGGAGCCGGCTCAGTGTTCCAAGGGGAATGGAGATACCTCCTTCTCCGTATAGACCGTGTAGCGAACTTCAGCTAGCAATTGCTACGTAAGGATCCACATCAATACCGAATTTCAGGTTCGGTACGACTGGACCCGACTGGCTGACCGCCTACATAAAGAGTCTCCCTGCTCACCATACCCACCTGGTTCGGTCTGTGCATCCCGCGTCCGATGAGATCCCAAGAAACACATCACACCGTCCGATGGATCCGCCACGTCCGATCCGGACCGTTGGTCGCGCCTGGATGGTGGTTTGCCTCTGGCCCTGGCTGGAGATGCTGATCTCCACTTCCACCCCGAGAAAGATCTTGGGCGAGACGCGGTTTTCGGCGTTTTCAGCCGAAGAAGATCGAAACACGACCGACGGCCTGACGGATCTGACGGACGAGGGGTCGAACCCGGCAGATCTTCGTGCCAGCAGATCGAACAATGCAGCGCTGGGGTCGTCGACCCAGCGCTGAACGATTGGGAACCCATTCAATCAATTGAACCATGCAGCCATGTCTTTGCCCTTTCAGTCAGGTACATGATAATCCAGTCACATGATAATCGAGTCACATCAGTTACATGGGTTGTGTCATGTTGTGTCTGGCAATAGGATTGCAGTTTGACAATTGGATTGCTGGAAGAAATTCCACATATTCTTTCATATATATCTGTTCCGGGACATCCCACCGACCACGGTAGTCACCGGGCGTTGTTTCACTGACACCAATCGACGACGCCGGCGTGTCACCCGTTTTTCATTCGGACACGTCGGTAACGCGCCCGTTGCGTCTGCGAGGCCGAGTTGGAGATCACCACGAGAGCACAAACGAGGTCGAAGACGTTGTTCTTCACAATCCTAGCGGATTTGCTCTGGAAGCGCAAAAGTCGAACATCCCACTTTGGGGGATTGACCATGGAAATTCCGAAAACCAGGGTCAGGTCACAATGCTATTCCGAGGATGTGAAGAAGAAACACAGGCGAAGCGTAAATAGGAAGACTTTCCCCCAACTAGGACTTTCCCTCCCGGCAGTCTTTGAAAGGTCTCCCTATTTCAACACACACGGCGGATGTGAATGTGGATGACGGTCGAACGAAGCAACATGGGCCTCGTGAGGGGCACAACACTCCACCGAGTGGTTTGCGTCTGTCCTCGTAAACATGAACTTTCTCACCGGTGTAGGGGGACCTCATGCTATTCACCGTCACGCAAGTGTAAAGAACATGGATCTGATCTAATTAATGATAAGGCTCGCACTGCTGTTTGAGCGGGCTTCCCATAACACACACAACCCATGCCTCACCATTTGTCGGTGTCTATATCCTGTCTCCAAAGTGGGCTATGGTCAATAACGCCGAAGGATCGTTGCTTTTGCAAAGCCTCCATGCTGAATCTGAAGGACCGTGACCAGCTAATCAGTTACCCCTATACTCCCTTGCTTCCAACTCTGGTTTCTCACTTTCCACGCAAAAGTATACAACTTGTATACTCCAAAAAGTATACAACCAGGAAGCAGTTGCCCCAGCAGAACGGTTCGACCATTGTTTCATGAAGGTTGATCCGGTTCTTTTAGAGTCTAAAAGTGAGACCATGCTTGTTCAGGAAAAGCCAACCTTCCGGAATTAGCTCAACAATGTGATGAGCCAAGAGTGAGAAGACCTCGACCACCTGCATCTGACCGGGTGTATTATGTTGGGAGACACCAGCGGCCCGATGAGTAGACTGGTCAATTTCCCTTCTTTCAGGGAATCTTTGGAAGGTCTTCCTATTTTAATGCACACATATGCACACCACACCCAGTGCATCCCAGTTACCACTAAATAAGGAACCAGGGGTTCGTTCGGTCTATGGTTTTAGTCTTTGGAACCACTGGTTACCAGCATTATAGTGGTTTGCCTGGATGCCTTGGGACATATATCTGAACATCGGAAAGTGCATGGCATGGTCCGGATTTCGGAAGACCACTGTCCTGACCACGTACATGTGCGGGGGGAGCGTCCACTTCCATGTGATGCGTTCGGATGCGTTTATGTGGGCTTTGAAGGGCTCTTAGGTTAATCGAATTCAAACCAATGAAGACCTGAAGACCTGTTCCTTTCAGTGGGGATGAAGGCCTGAAGCATAATCCTAAAGTACCTAAAGTACCTCAGAAGACAAGGGTTTGCCAGTACATGTACCTGTTTTTGTTCAGATCATGTCCATTTTCTGAGGTCGTGGGTCAGTCGTATCCTCAGGATCTTCCCATCAACCGCACCAGCTTCGCCTCTCTGCACAGCTGCGGTCGTCTCGAGCTATGTCCACACAGCCAGTTTTCCTCAGAGCCGTTGAGTCCCGGTTGATCCACCCAAGAGGGTTTCCTAAACGCCACCGCCTCCATGCGCCCTTACTTGTATCCAATCATCACCATGGGCCCCTGAGCCAGGTCCAGTCTGAGCCAGGTCCAGTACCTGGTCCTGAGGTTACCTCATGGTTCGTCGTGTTTTTGTATGATCAACTCCAGTAAAATACGGTGTTGGACTTGTAGGCTAAACACTGCAGGGGGGATCATGGGGGCAACAAAACGCGCACCACCTCTCATCCGCGCAGACACGGCGGAACACGGCGCTGGGGCGTCGCTTGGGGAGACTGGATTCCAAGTGGTTAGCTGTTTTTCGCTGCGGAGAGAAGATCCCAAGTGATGCAACATGTCTTGCCGAGCGCCAAGCTGGTTTTGTAGGGTAGTTGTAAATATGCAAAGATGTTGCATGTGTTTTCTTGTTTTCTTGGAGGATCGACTTGCCTGCAGAGGACCGCCCCCCAAACCAACCACCACCACCGGTCCATCTCTTCTTCTATGGGATCGTTTGACGGGGTGTAGGGATATGTCATCTCCCAGACACTCCATGGGACTGCCATATACATTGGGGTGGTGCGTGACTGGGGGGTCAATATTGGGATCCCAGTACTTGCAAGAGTTGATAAGAGTTGCACATCAATGGTCGATGGATCAGGGTATTTGCAAGATCCATCCAAGCAAGTTCTCATGAGGAATTCTGATCGGCACTCATTCCCTTATGCTAGCGACATGAGCCAAAAGCTGGTCCCATCGGCCAGTCCCCTTTTTCGATTCACCGATCGATCTTCCGTTCGTCTGTAGCATTTCTTCGACTGGACACGGCATAACCTGTGCATGCGTTGGAACCGGGATTGACCTCTGAGCTGCGGTGATGTGTTCGACACTGTAGATTTGGAGGGCTCAGTTCGTTCACACTTTTGGATGGCGACAGTCTGTCACACATACGCAGATGAACGTCCAAGTACCGAGGTTCGGTAAGACTGGATTAAGATGGGACGATCTGGGAATGTCGACTCTCCCTTTCCGAGAACCCCTCATCCGCCCAGATCGAAGACGCCCCCGTCCCCACGCAACGATCGGCGTCGCGTCGGGAGAAGAACACCGATCAGCTGAAGTGAAGTCGGGGGTGTTACGGTAAAACACCTTTTTTGGAGCTGGTGGGACACATCGGACACACCCGAGGTTTTGTAATCTAAACCACTCCAGTTCGAGAAACCCCATTGAAAACCCTATCCCCATCCCTCCAAACATGGTTTCGTGGAAACCCCAGTTTCGAGACGAACATGGGAGTTTTAGGGGCCATGCCATTCACCTCCATAATTGTTGGAGGGACGACCGGGATCGACTGTGCTTCCTGCTCTCTGTCAGGCATCATGTGATCGAGCCAAAAGGTCGTTTGATTCGACTCCACCAAGTAGAGGAACGGTACTGCTTTGACCACCGGGTAGTTCTGGACAAAAAAAAAGAACACACCCTAAAAATCCAAACATCTGCTCCACAAGGCAGAGACCCTCCACAAGGCAGACTCCTTCCAAAGCCGAAAAGTCCCTCGGAACCCATCCAGGGTCTTCGTTGCTGTTCAATCGATTGCAGTAAATGGTGGGGGACAAAACCCCATCCCCTTTAGGGGATCCACATACCTTCTGAGGTACGGTGATGTGTTCGACACTGTTATGACAAGTTTGGAGGGTCCAGTCGTAGCGAACCTGAGGTTCGGTACGACTGGATCCCAAACGGGATCCGGCTCCAGAAAACATCCCGGGCCCGGCTCTGTCTCTGTCTCTCTTCAGCTCAGTGTCTCAGCACAATACCTGACGGGTCGTCAGAACCAGCCACGGGACACGCGTTTTCTGCCACGTGTTTTTCCCACTCTACCGAGTACCATGCTTTTCGTGAACATGTCCACTATTATACTATATCTCTGTGTTTTGATTGAAATACCCAGACCCAGACACTCCATGTCTGTCATATATGCCTACATTGGGGCGGTTTCGTGGGTCAATGTAATGCATATATGGCATACATGGAGTGTCGGGGATAATATGTATTATATATTATACTATAGACATATTATTGTTGTGCTATAAATCACACATACATTACACATATTCGGCACTTGCACACAGGCACTTATTATATATGTTCACAAAATCTACCTGACGGGTCGTAGTGTCATAGAGGCATCAAAGGAGCCTACAATGGCTGAGATATTTTGAGGATGGCTGTGGACCTTGTGATATGATATGACCTAATTATATACGCAGAACCACAGCTGCTGTTCTGCAAAACGAGTTGTTCTCACCTCTGCAAAAAAGAATCCGGAAAAACCCTCGTCTAGAGAATATGCAAAACATGTACAAACAAACAAACAAACAAACAAACCATAGTGCAAGAAAAACATCTTTGGAACCGCTGCACACTTTTGTAACACCAACGAAAACATAAATGTATTTGCATGTCTATGATGACAGGGTTCTGTCAATTTCCCTTTGGTACAAGGGAACGTACTGCAACCAACCCTTTTTTGTTGGGTCGTGTTCTTCAACAGCTTTGGAACGAATCTTGTGCTGTAAAGCAGTCTCAAAATGTGCATTTCGACCGGCATGAGACAAACACCCTTTTTCCACTGTGGTCAAAACCAGGTTCAACAACCGATACTAAGGACATATCCATAGAAGGCGCCTAAATCCTGAAAAAACAGGAAACAAAAAACATATGTGTACTATCAGTTCTTACTATCTCTGCTCATAGGAACCAACAATTGCTAATTGCTCGAGTCTTTCACCCAAAATGACCACTGCGCCCGCGATTCAGAGGAGAGACTTGCTCCACTCACTTCCTCAGCTGAGAGGCTTGCTCCGATTCTGGTTCGCGTCCGCGATGTTGGCCATGGCCGCATGAGCCAGGTCGTCGTTGGTGTAGGACGCTGCGACGCGGACGCGTGGGACACGTGGTTTGGTGGTGCATGGAGGGTGTCGGCGAATGAGGAGTAGAACTTTGAGGTCTCAAGAGTCTCAACCTGTGCGTATACTTCAGAACATGGGTACACGATGGTACACGTATAATCAAGTATATATAATATACATACAAGTGGATGCATACCTGTTTTTCGAGTTTGGGTCCATGTCCTATTTTCAAGGGTATGAATTGTTGGGTCCAGGTCCGATACATGCCAATAAACAGATCCTGAACATCACCAAGAAGCTTGGGGCCCTGTGAGATACATGATCTGTAGCTGTGTGATCCAGGGGCACTTGGGACTGCAGCACTTTGGATCCAAAGAATTGGAGAATGGCAAGTTTAACCTGAAGAGAATCAATGAACTGGGCCAAAGCATGACTGAGTTGGTCCAATCAATTTCATTTCATGTGTATATTTGCTTTTTGTACTTTTAGCATCATTTAGCATCAAGGAAAGTACCCCAAAGCTGACCAGTATCACAATACATTCAGGAACATTTGGGCCTCAGCGCTATATGACAAAGAAATGGCAGGACAATCCGCCGACCCCACTCGTGGGGTCAGGCGTGACTGTTGATTAAAGATTAAGGCTAAGGCTATGATTAAGGCTATCCTACGCCTCCGGAGCCTTGTTGAAGTGACGAAAAGTAGCGAAGAATTGCTCAAAATTTATCCAAATGTATTCGTGTGCTTCTTACTGGGGATTGGGGCACCCTCTCCACCCGCGCGGGAAAATAAGCACGGTCCCTAAATGGTCCCGGGCTCGAATCCCGGGCTGGTCGCGGCCTGGTCCCTGCCAGTGCCCTTGGTTTTTCCTAAATTTTGTAACGTTTTCCGCTGGATTTCTAGGATTTTCCCAGGTTTTTGTAAGACTTACTCATGCCTTTCATGCCTTTTTCGATGGTTTTTTCCAGGATTTTCTATGGTTTTTCCTTGAATCCCGACCTGGTTGCGGCCTGGTCCCTGCCAGTGCCATAGATTTTGTAACGTTTTCCGCTGGATTTCCAAGGATTTTCAAAGGTCTTTGTAAGATTTACTCATGCCTTTCATGCCTTTTTCGAGGGCTTTTCCAGGATTTTCTCTGGTTTTTCTAGGAAGTTCTGCGGTTGTCTAGGGGCTCCGTGTTGTTTTTTGGGTTCCCAGAGTGCTCTCTTCTGCCTACTTTGGTGATGCAGTGACAGATCATGTCTCTAGGGGTTCCGTGTTGTTTTTTGGGTTCCCCGATTTTTTGAAAAACATCGTAACCCATTTGGCTGCCTGTGGTCTGGCCCCGGGGGGTCGGCGGCTGCAGGCGCTAGCCTGGTTATATCTCAGGAAGCTCTCTCCACCTCCCACCATCTGAGGAATACAGTCTGCTAGAGCCACCTCTAAACCAGAGTATTCGTTCTGTTTCTTGTGTTTGGAGAGCTCTACAACCTCGATGCATAATACAGATTGAGTCCGAATTGAAGAGCTATCCACGCGGGCACTCTGGTCTTCTTCAAGTCCAAAGAAAAAGCTATAGCCTTCTCCGCTGTCTCGAAAGAAGTCTCCAGAAAAGATCTGTGAGCGTATATGACTTTGCCGAAAAATTTCATGTAGCTTGCAACCTCTGTGAAACCAATACGAACTTCATTCAAAGAGATGAACTTTTCTCTACCTTTAAGGCTTTTGGCAGCATTCGTGTCGATGTCAAAGTAAGACATGCAAGTATCGGCAGACGCAGTCAAAGCAGCTCTTAGCACAGACGAATGATTTTCCGCAGAAGATAGAGGATCGAGGGCGGGATCAAAACCGGTCACCACATCGTCCATGCACACTACTACTATGTAGTTAGACTTGATGAACCCATCCGATACCAGCTGTTGAGCTGTAGCCCGAACCATTCCCCGGTGAAAGGAAGTGTCTGCAAAGATTGTAAATCCTTGGAAGGTGACAGCTCCCTTCAACACTTTGAACATTGCTGCCGGGCGCATCTTGGAATTGGAGTACGAAAACTGAGGAGTTCCGTCAATTCCTGCTTTCATGGCTGAAAAGATTTCATGGAACTCTCCAGGTGGTAAATTGACAGTTCCTCCGAGCATAGAATGGAAATAGGAAACCCTGACGTGGTTGTGGGACTCTGACCACGCACTTCGGTCTGAGCTTTCTATGATACGGGAAGGTCTGTTTCTGAGCCACAAAGACAATCTTCTGACTTCTCGTAACTTCCCAAGGCCGCTTTTCCCGGGTGCAAAACCCGGTTGGGAAGAGGTTGCTGCGTACACAGATGAGTTGAATGTGCGAAGTCGAGTCTTTAGGCCATAATGAGCGACCCAAAACTGACGAACCTTCTTCCATCTATGTTTTCCTGACTCTGTTTTCTTTCGAGCAACTACTCGTATGTTTGAAGAAGTTCTGCCGGCTTTTCTCAATTGTGTTCCAGTTTTGCCAAACATTTTGGGAGCGTGCCTTAACGCTTCTAAGGACTCAAGACGCACAGTACCTTTTTCGTCAACCAACGTTCCTTTAGAAGCAGCTTGGGCAGAATAATGTTCGGCAGCACACACAGGAACTTCATTAATGGACTTGTCTATCCGCTTGGCTCCTTCTTGCTGTTCCAAAGAAAGTGTCTGCCAAGCCGGAGTCCCTTCAGCCCAGTGTTCTCTCTTTGAAAAAGTTCGGGTATCGAAGTCCCAAACAGACGGTTCTCTGGCTTTTTGATGAGTTTTTGCTTCATAATGCCGTATGATTTCTTCTTGAGTGGAAATTGCCGCAAGCAAGTACCGTTTCTGCATTTCGAGTTCTTCTTCTGGATCATCTTTAGCCGGTCTGCCTTTCTTCAAAACATTGTCCAGAATCAAATCATCGTGCTCATTCGAGCAAGCTGGAAGAGGCACACAGGCGTAGACTCTGCTGAAATTCACTGCCATGGTATACCCGTAAGTAGCCCCAATTGCCATGACAGCATCCCAAAGCGTTTCCAAAAACTTGGAATTGCTCGGGATAGAGTCAGTCAGTTCTTCTGCATCTTCTGCACATAGCTCATTTATCGCTTGGGCCGTCTTCCGAAATGCTCCAGGTTGGTATTCAGGTATCAAGTTCTGACATACCATCCAAGTGAGTTTCCCGCCTATAGACAAGTCGTCTAATTTTTCCGCTACAGATGAAGCACTCGATAGGTTCACTGTTTTCAAGTCGTCCACCAAAGATTGGAGAAGTTTGAAAATCAAGACAGTAATTTCTCGAACTTGGGAGTCATAGAGCTTTTTCTCCTCTCCAGTGGCAGTGACCTTGACTCTCAGCCTTTGCTCCATGACGAGAGAAGGAGGTTCTTTGTCTGGTGCTTCTCTTGGGTCCAAATCCACAAAAGATCCTTTAGCAGCCATAGACCCAATAAAGATAGAGGCAAAAAGTCCAGCAAAAAGAGGAGTTTGAACCACTTTCACTATTTTGTCTAGCCAGCCCTCATGCCAGCACAGCAGGGTTTCTGGTAAAGCACCGAAAGGAGCGGGGAGACTGGAGCTGGTCCCAATCAGCAGTTCACCAACCTTTCTCAAGTAGAAACTGCCCAGAGGAGTTCGGATCTGGCACACTCTGCTGATTAGAGCTGAACTGTACACTGCTATGTTCAGCTGTCCTATCTGCCAAGCAATTTCTGCCAATTCCAAAGCTTCTCCTTGAGGAAAGATGTCACCCCCAAGACAGGAAAAGTCAGCAGCAGACAAGAGATTTGACCAGACGCCGTGACTTTCAACAGCAGTCTTTAGCGTGACTGCATCCACTAGAGGGTTTGTTAGCGGATGTGGTTTCCTTTGTCTCTGTTCAGTAGCAAAAACTGCCAGCAAGGCCCCGAGAGCAGAATCTTCGAAAAGAATTGCCCGTTTTCCCGCAGAGTCACAGTGAACTGTCAAATCCCGATATTCTGGAAGGTTCTGTTGGATTCTTGGTAGATCCACGAGCTCCCCTGACACCAACTTGGTCTTGGGACTTTCTGAGTACAACTCCCGCAAGAAGAGCTCGTTTTCTTTCGGGATGCATTGAGACGTATAACTTCTGAACTCTTTGGCAAAATCATCGTCAGACAAAGTTCCAGGAGTTTTGATAGCAGCCAAAGCAAAATGCCCAGCTTGGAACAGAGAACAGAAGACATCTGCTCTATCCGTCAGTCTTGCTGCGTAATTCGAACTTGCTAATTTCCTCACGGCGTCAGCTACCAAATCTTTTGTTGCCAAAGGTAAGAAGTTCATCTGATCCTCGACTGCCTTCTTCTCCTTGATTCCAAAGGAGCAAGTTGCTAGCAGCTTCCCGAGCTGCTGTTGAGAATCTGCTCTGAAAACCGACACATTCTCCACCACTGCCATCCATAGCCAGAAGAACACTAACTCCGGGTACTTCATGTCTTGAGCCCAACTCAGAAAAGCGCTTGTATATACTGTCACTAGCTAAGTACGTGGTCTCTGCCTAAACCCTTACTATGTCTAAAGAATGCATAGCTCTCCTTTTGTCGCTAGAAGCATCAGAAACTGTCTCTAAAAAGGCCACAGCTCTACCGAAATAGGGAGCGTGGTAAAAGGCGCGCACTGGGTCTACGTCAAAGACTTGGACCTGGGAATCATCTAACGAGCTTAGTGTAGCTATGCATTTAAACAACAAAAAGTGTAACTGACCTGAAACCATGACATAACGTTGGCGTTTCTTTCTGCTATGATTTCTTCTACAACCATACTGGATTTACTTGTCTCCACTCCAGATCTAGCCAGTGCATAGCAAAGAACAAACTGAGTGATGTTCTTGGCCCTGGGTCCACCCACTACCTTGTACCCCCTGGTACTTTGATTCAAAACAAATCAACTGCAAAAAAAAAACATGAAACTCCGCATGTGACCCTTGGGTGATGAACCGCCTTTCCTCATCTTCCAAAACCGAGAGACTGAAGATCCTGGGGGTGAAGCTGATACGGCCCTGGCAAAAAACGGTGGAACTCCCATCTGCTGGCGGATCCAGGCAGCTCCCCGGTTTGAAAACCGCTGGTCGTGACGGTCACTTCCACGACTGGACGATCGACGAATTTAGACCGACCACTTCGCGCTCCTGGTTCCGTAGAATGGATCCACTTGCGATCTACTTGGGAACCTGATAGACTGTTGCAAGAGAACCAGCGGTTCCGTAGACTGTTCCGTGGTCCATTGGTCCCAAAAGATCTACTGGGCATGTTTTTTTGGGTGCAAGATGGTGCAAGTATGTGAAGCTCGAAAGCTGGGTATGTGGAGGTTCCCCCCTCGCCCACTCCCACCCACTCCCTACGCTCCCTGGTTCAGTAGATCTGTTGTGACGTGGATGGCAAGGGCCAAGGGCCCGATGCCCATTTCGAAAGACCCAACACCAGCACCCGACGACCAACAGGTCTCCGATGGCTGGAGGGTTAGGCAGGGCCCTAACAGGTTTCAATTGGTGACCTGTTGGACGGTGCTGGCAGGTCGTGTCTTTCCACATAACCATGATTCTTTCAATCAGTGCATTGCGTGTGAAAACACACCGGACACGATGTGCTGCATCTGCGCTGCATGGGTCGCACAGCAAAAAGACGGTGTTATGTGACACCGAGCCTGGGTGCTTGATCTCGGTCTCATTTCCACAGGTACGTTGGGAACCCCAAAAGAGATCTTAACTTGGTGACAATCCGAATTCCGAATTCCGAATCCTTCCGAGAACGTCTAAAAACACACAGTGACTTGTGATGACATCGACCCCCATCGTTCAGTATCACTATAAGTACAGTATAGGTTTTGTTTTTGGATGTCTTTAGCTGTGGAACATGTTTCCACATGCTACCACATGTTCCAACAATCAGCAACAAGAACTGAATGGGAGTGGTGCAGTTGCTTGCAGGAAGGATTGAACACATTCAGTTGCAACTTTGTAAGGTTTGCATATTGCAAGCTTATCCTGTCTATAACTGGATCACCAGGCAATCAATCCTGTCAATCATCATCAATCCCCAGGGATCCACATACCTTCTCAGAGGGTGCGACTGGACCCGACCCTGGCACCTACATATATATAATACATATAATACATATAGTCTCCCTGCTCACATTCTCCGGTTCGGTATGTGGATCCATAGGACAATATGGTCTGGGATGTGTTGGTGCCACGCGACTAGTAGCCGCGTGCGCGTGCTGCCCTGGGCAGCGGTCGGTGGCCTTCTTGGTCTTCTTCTTATCATCGGCGGAGGCTGCAGAGGAGGCTTCACTCCCATGCGTTGTTGGCGGCAGCTTCTCCTTCTTACTCTTCCTGGGCGTGTGAGAGCTGGGTATATGTTTAATAGGAAGACCGTCAAACCCGCAGCCATTGATTTTTGGATGGTTTTGGTTTATATCATTTATGTATGTATGTTTACATTCTTCCAGGGGGTCCAATAGGGAGGTCTCCCCCTATTTTTATACACACCCATCTTTAGATTGACCCTGCCTTTTTTTTATCTTGGGAGGACTGTTCTCTCAGCTGCTCCACCGACCTACGGACCGGTCACCGACGGGTTCGCAGCGACGTCTCGGCTCTGGCTGGGCAGGCTGTCCCTGGCTTCCCGGCCTAGGGCGGATCAATCCAACCAACAGTACAAGGCCATCCCCACCCATTCGAATTGGCAATCCTCTCGCCTCTCATTAATCAAGAGTCTACCTATACATTATGGTGCAAACAAATGACCCAAATCTGTTTCCGACATCTCGCGCAAGAAAAAAGCGTCGGCGAGGACGACGTCACGTGCTTGGCAATGGGTCGCAGGAGCGTGTCCAGAACCTGCGAGTATACCGGATCCACCGAGCGAGTTGAAGTGGTGTCTGGTGGTTCCATCAGGGAGAGGTTTGGAAGGACCAAGGGCTGTTTGGAGCGTTTGGGAAGTGGTTCAAAGTTTTCTGGAAGTTCTGAGTTAGAAGCAATGTAGACTTATAGGTTGCTTCAACAAGATTCCTGTTGTTTTTGTTGCGGGGTTTTTAGAGATTTCTAGAGCTCCATATGTGCTCAACTTTCTACGGTTTCAGAGGTTCGATGGCACATCAAACAGGTTTCGATGGCGCCAAAGGAGGCACGACGCCCATCCCCCAAAGATGGTTTCTATGAACATCTTGTTGTGCCAGTGCCATTTTGAACCTTGCACCAATCACTGCATCAACTCCGAAGTCTTCACTGAAGTCTTCACTGTCAGACCTCCACTCAGATCCTCAAGATCCGATCTTCTCCGGTTCTTTCAACGGATTCTTCTCGTTCGATTCATGCCTTCATGCCTTCACAACACGACCACCGCCTGGGACCTGCCTTTCGATCCCTAGGACGTTCACGACAAGGCCCGCCTCCTGTTGATGATCCAGTCGATTGAAGAGATCCTGCCGCAGAGTCATCAGAAACTCCCGCATATCTCCTGCAGAGTGTAGACGTCCGTGGGTGAACCGGGGTGGAGACGTGACCCAGGGGCTTATATTATATAAGGCTGCTCATAAGGTGGTCTAGACCCAAACCGGGCGATCCTGTGATTGATCCTTTGAACCACAATGTGTATCTTGAGGTGGTTGTTCTTGTCTTTGCAACAATCCAAGCTACTAGGAGAATGATCAGCAAGGGACATTGAGGAGGAAAACGAGTTCAAATAGAACCCAGTCAGTGGATACCAGTTATATACTACCAATCTGAGACGCCTCAGATCCTCGTCTAGCTGTCGGTTTGTCTCAATTTGTCTCTGTATATCATGACAAGCTTGGAACAACTGAATCCATCTGGACCGAAACCATCCTCGCTTGGAGCTTCAAATGCAGATTCTTCAACAAAATCCTCTCGAAAGCCTAACTTGACTCAGTGTTCACAGCCCCATTGCAAACAAATGCTTACTGCTTTCGCAGTGAATGAACCCCCCTCTAGATACCTGGGATCCATTTCATCCTTCCTTCCTTTTCCGTACTTAGCACCAGTCTGAACTGTTGCTCTTGAAGCTAACGACCTCTGCTTAGGCTTTTGGGATCCACCTGCATTCCCGGCGCCCTTCGACGTGGCATCCTGTCGTGCATCGGGGTGAATGGATGCCACGTGGTGAGTCGATGCTTCAATCAATAGCACAATCCAATCCACGGAAACAAAGCAATCCACACGTTGGCAACCACACTTGGCTTCGCTGCCAGTTGACAGTTTTGAGCGCATCACACTACAACCTTGCGGGTCACTTTGCCTTCTCACCTCATGGTGTGGATACACTGTGTTCTGCGAGTTCCTATGCTCTTTTCAGGACTGTACAGCTTTTCGACCTCTCCAATTTTGTTTTGTACAGGCTTATCTTCTCTCCTTTGCCATTTGCCTTTACAGCTGAAGTCTTGTGGGTCTGTACAGGCTCTTTCATTTTGCAAATGTGTGGAGAGTTGGTGCCGCATGCCCCAATGCTTCTTCAAGCCCCCACTTAGTTTTTTGGGGATCCACCCGCCACCCTTCGAAACACCGCCGGTGCCGCCTCCTTGATCCCAGTGCACATCACGGAAGAGCGCCGGAGTGGAGGCCTTTGGCGCTTCCACACCCTGCGGACGCGTCCGGTCGCGTCGCTGGTGCCGTCCGGTCCCCCTCACAGCAGACGTCAAGCGTGGGGCTTTGGACGTCGCAGGCTATGTGAGGCAGGCGGGCTAGGCGAGCGATGTCTGCTGCGAAGGAAGGACAGCAGCAGAATCCACTGGGCAAGGGGAGGTGATCTTTCGATCCATCTACTTGGACCCTCCAAGTAGCTCCAAAATGAGTACAGTGTGCCTGTATTTGATCGTCATACGCCACTTTCGAGATATGTTACGATAGGTTTTAGGGTATGAAATCCAGGGTCGCAAAAAAAAAAACCTACCTATTGGGGTCCTGGACCCTGGACAAAGAAACATGTTGCGTGGCTCAAGACTGAGGTTCGTTGCTGGAAAATGCTTTGCCCTAGCAACCACATGTCAGTGCCTCTACGAGATGTTGTTGTGAAGCTTGTGTTTATAACAAGAGAGTGAGTGAGTGAGTGAGTGAGTGCGTGGGTGGGTGGGTGAGTGAGGGAGAGGGAGGGAGTGAGGGAGGGAGGGGGATTCTGGGGAGAAGATGCTGCGGATGACCTGACTCTGCCTTTCTCTGACCGGACGATCTTCGTCATCTGGGACGATGACATCTTGCGATCTGCTGCGCTGTCTTCTTTCTTCTTGATGCCAGCTTGGGGAGAAGCCAACGGCCCTGACTGACGGAGGACGTGCCTGGTCCTCCATGTCGAAGGCCTCCACCATGGAGGTCTCTGTCGCCGCCATGAGGACTACCCTGTATAGGGGGGGTGTTGAGGGAGTGAGGGGTCAACTGCAGCAGCAAGGGCGAAGAGTAGCGTACCAAAACATATACTGTATTTATTACATGTGTTCCATACGCCATTGGAAATACACAATATACATGTCTTCTCGGAGCTCAAAAGCTACAAAGGCCTTTCCTTTCCGCTTTTCGTTGCACAGAAACTCAACCTCCCTGCTCTTTATCGTAAGACCGACATCCATCGAGTAGCATCCCAGGGCCGCGGAAAACACCACAGGCGTCCGCGGAAGCTCCACTGTTTTATATAGTTCTTTTCACAGTACTTCCACGTTGTTTCTTTTCCTTTTGTGAGTGTGTGTGTGTGCCAGGTGTCTTCGCAAGGGCGTCCGCACAGATTCAAAGTGCTTAGCTGAAACACCGGTGACCTCAGGCCACAACTCTTTGCTTGGCTAAAGATGATCATCAAATCCAATGAACTCTTTCCTCTCTCCTTGAATCAAGCGGCGAGCAGCAAGGGTTTAGAATGTTCACACAACTTGGTCGGTTTGGCTTATGACACTTGGGCATCTCCTCTCTTGAACACTGTGCCATGTCTCTGCAGCTGTACCTGTAGCCCGGTCCTGGTCAAACAACTCTGCCCGCAATCTGAATTGCAGTGGATGGTGGTGGTTCATACCCAGATCTTCCAACTATGCACGCCTTTCATTGCCTTTCCATCAATTAAGGCAGACATTGTGCATTCTTGGAAGATCTAGGTACAAATTACAAAGGGCACCCCCAAAAGACACTTTTGTTCATAATCAAAAACATATGAGCCTCAAACATGAGACGTGTGCTGTCATGTGCGGGCCTTCACGAAATATGTGATGACATATAGATTTTAGTCCCATCCAGTGAGTGGATGTCCTGGGCACCCCGACTTCCTCCGTTCGTTCGGCACCCGTCTTGTGACTTCTGGTCGAAAAAAAGAGGACAGCAACACTGTGGCAACACTGTGGCAGTTCTCAACCACTACCTCGAAGCCACTTTCAATCAACATCTCTCGACTCTCAACTGATTCTACCATGCAGGGCCAGGCATGGGGTGTCCTAGTTCTCTCAGCAAGGCCCCGAATGAACCAAACCAAAACACTTCCACAGATGTGCACTGTTTGTCGCATGCAACCCCAAATGCTGGCAGTAGCACATGGAGTCCCTGAAAACCACCTGTCAGTTTGTAGAGGGGAAATGGTCTGAACATGCGGTCTGTCCTTGCATAGTGAACCTATATGGTTCAACGATTGTCCCGTCCTCTTATGACATGTGAGTAGGTTCAGGATGACACACAAAAAGCACAAATTACGGACCAGCGTCGTGTGAGTGAGACTTGAATCCAAACCTCGGGCAAGTCAAAGCAAGGAAATTGTGGTAAAGAATCTGGTGGTTCACCATGTTGCATTTCAAGTCATCATGTCAAAACCCACAGTCGACTCGGAGAAGAACCACGAAGCCCTTAAGGGTCTCAACCCACCGACGTCCAGTCTGGTCCTGCGACGTCACGTCGTCCGTCTCTGTCCGTCTCCGTGTCTCCCAGCACTCAGGGCACCGGTGGTTGTGTAAAGTTCATCCGTCCCAGCGCCAAGCAAGTGATCAGAAGGGAGGAACTGGGCACGGCTGTCGATCTCAGTTCTGGTCGAAAGCTTGAGGGTGGTGCTGCATTGGACCCAATGATGGCAAGAATCAACAGGGTTGAAGGAAGCAACAGTCTCTACCCCATTTTCGGGGGGTGTTGAGAATCCAGGTATCAAGATATCACAAAGTCACTAGCTAGCCGGATTCGGATTTCCCAAAAACAGCCACTGATTAAGATTCAGGCAATAGGCGGCCATGGGCACATGATGGGCCTGTAAAACCTATATAGTTTGGCATGAAACCAGACTCCAACCCCCCCCCAGTCACCACACTGTCGGATGAAACAACCAATCGTGCACTCTGACGGCACCATCAGCATCCTCTTGAGATGTCGCTTTACAAAGCAAGTGTTGGTTCACTCTGCACCACCATATTCTGAAGCACATCAGCTTCATGCTTCACAATAAATAGTCACCCAAACAGTAGTGATGCTCCTGATCGGTCATTAACAACGCTAGTCATCTCCATCGTTCAATTGAAACAACCATATGTCGTCAACAACAAACGATAAGACGTAGAACCCAACTCCAGCACAACTTTCATGTCATGACTACGGTGACTGCAAGTTCTTGGATATCCAAACGATCCAAGATGAAAACTTAGAAGTAGTGCACTCTTAACTCTCTTGACCAAGAAACATAACTAGACCAAATGGCAAAACAAAATATAGAAACATTATATCAAAACACATCAACACACACTTTTTTCTGTGGAAGCATGTTTCGCTCTAAGTTTGTACATTATTCTTCTGGTGCTGGCCCAAAGTTCCAGAAAATACCCTCGGCCTCAAATGGAAACTCAAAAGGATCAGGCTTGATACATGTTCACTCATTGCAAATATCCCAAGCCATTCTTGTCACCAAACAAACAAAGCATCAATTCATGCCAACAAACATCATCCCACTCTGTTTCTCACCCTAGCAAAAACACACCTAACAACACATGTATATCCCTCATATCCATTCATGTATCCCTGAATGCTCCGACCCTTCTTCTGCCTTCCAAAGGCAAGAACACGACGAACCCGACGCTTCAAACGCCGTCATGTGGCTCCGAGTACTTGGGGCCCTCCGTGACGGCATGGTGCGTCAAGCGAGCTGCGCCGGTGCCGAGTTTGGCCGAGGCGTTGGTTTTTCAAGCCGCTCTCGAGCGGTCGCACGGCTTAGCGATGGCTTAGCGATGCTTGGTGATGGCTTAAAAGAAAAGATGTTGTAATATTTATAACTATTAACAACTTATATGAATATCCAATTTATATATAACTAGATTCACTAGATCTTCCAACTATGCACGTCCTGTGTGCCTTTGCATCGAATAGATGAACAGCCCACACTTGGAAGATCATAGAGGGCACCCAACAAAAACATCTCAGTGTGTAATCTGAAGACATGAGCCATGTGCATTCATGTCTATCTTTCATGTGTACTCAGCACAAATGTAATTCTCACAATCGATTCTATGTTGATGCTCCAAGAATCGCGAACATCTGCAGGGGCCTTTTGTAAAATTATGAAACACACAAATTATGTCAATAGACACATAAGGACACATACTCACCCCAAGTTGAAAAAATAAAACACATAATGCATCATGACGCGTATGACTCGTGACCGAGTTCTTCAGCTGTCCCGAGACCTGGGAAATGTGACTTCTCCGGTTTCTGGAGACTCTATGGATGCCTCATGTGAGGCAAACCATGTCCTCTCCAGAAACCCAAACAAGAAACCATGGGAAACAACATGAAGAAACCCAAACAAGGAAGACTTTTTCAAGACAAAGAGTTCATCAACCGCGATGTCAGGACCCCGATGCACCCGCTGGATCTTTAAGCTTGACAACCAGAACCATGAATCACATGGGTTTGTACTGTATTTTCATGGAGAGACCTCCTAACCAAGTTTTGGTCGATTTTCCTTCTTCCAGGGGTCTTGAGGATATCTTTAATCACCCACATCAACATCCTCAGGCACAAGCCTTTCGACACCTCTTCGTCCTTTCAGGGAACCGACATCGAAGGACGAAGACACCTGGTCCGATGGACACCTGGTCTTCGCACCGGTTCGTCACCTTGGAGTTCGAACGTCACAGCGGAACGATGGTCATCCAAACGGCCCATGCCATCTACGACTCAGGTAGTGAACGCCATCCCACCCAGGCGACCCTAGCACCCTAGCTCTATAGAACGGCTTGGCTCTTGGCCGACCGGGTTTCACCTCCGCGTTTCGGGACAGCTCATCGCGGCGAACCAGCGGCGAAGCAGTAGCTTCTTGGAGTTGGTTTCCTGGAAGATGTTCTGGGTACTGCATTTGTTAAGCACCTCATTATGTCCAAATATGTCAATCAAACAAGTGCCTACACAAATCATACAGAGTATGTTTCACAGCACAGCCTAAGAGCCTGCCTAAGAGCTCGGGATGTGCGTGCCACTGCAAGCGGCTGAAACCTGGTGAAAAGGCTGCTCAGTGGCCGAGTTGACTTGATTTTGCCATCGTCGTTCTGTGAGAAACATGTCCAACATGTGAAGGAATCATTGGCGATCGATGGCGGTGACGATGCTTTCTGTGGTTTACATCAGCGCACCTTAGGGCTCCAGTCGTACCTCCAGAGAAAGTATTTGGATCCGGCACCCACCCCAGTCCCACCTTCTTTCTTGGAGCCCTAGGGACATAGAATATCAGGTTTACACATCTTCACAGTTTGGGGTTACTTGCATGTGATGGTACGCAAGCGTGACCTATGAGTACAACCGAGTACAACTCAAACAAACCCAGGACAGAATTGAGAATCTTCAAGAAACAATTAGAAACACAATCTTTGAGGGTAATTGAAAGGCTTTTGGGGGGGACATCCTAGAAGCCATTGACTATGAAATGCAACAATGACGAACATTCGATGCCCCTCGTGGAAGGTTGTTCAAGCCTGGAAGATTGTTTGCAGCTACCGTGTGGCCGGTGGGGCTACTAGGAAGGCTAATGGGGTAAATATTACATATACTATAAACTACTATCATAATATCATATATATACAATAAACAGCTGCCCACGGCTAATTGGAACTAGCAAATTGTTTACACCACTACTTATGAAGTAGCACCCTGGGTGGATCATTGAATTACATCGTTCATGGTGCTGCCTTTCGATCCAAATGTTTTCGTTTTTAATAGTGGTGAAGTTTCTGCCACGATGTGTTCCAAATTGTTGCTGCATTCATTTCGCCTGGTTGTTCCCCTTTCGTCCTCAGCCAGATCGGCTCCACTGGCAGTATCTACTTCTTCAACCAAAAATATACAAAATGGCGGGCGTGATTAAGCAAGAGCTCGCAAACACACACACCATCATCCCAATGGGATTGCATTTTGTGGCTTCGGAATAGACCAAAGGAATAGACTCTCTGCTGGAAAACGTCCAATGGCCGTGGGACTTCTAGTCCAGGCGCCCCTGCTCCATAGCAGCATGGACACGTCCATCGGCTGCAGGCTTCGACTGGGCGGTGCGTGCGGTGCGCCGGCTGCGCCGGCGTCTCCGTGCGACTGGGCGATCGGAGTGATGGTTCGAAGGTGAAAAACCGTAGATCGAATTGAATATTGATTGGGTCTATCTCATTTCCAGGGCCTGGTGGATGGTTCAGTTGCAGGCCGACAGTTCAAAAATCATTGTTTTACTGACTGTTAAACAGGTATAGGACGAATGTTGATCCAATTGCAACCCCCATATCAGGAGCCGTTGCAATCCAAATGAGGAACTGTTAATCGCTGTTAATCAACAGTCTACATTCTTGTAGGTCTTGAGCTGTGTGGGTAGTTAGTAAGGAAGCAAAGAAACAACTCACTCTGTGCAAGCTGATCATCGCGTTATGGCCTTCAGTGTTACAGAACATGTCAGAATTTGTTGGAACCAAGCGATTTCCCTGAAGGTCCATGTCCAAGAAACTGCGGCAGGACGGCTTGACGATGTCCTTTACCAGGAGCCCTTGTTTCATGAAACATATGAAACATATCCTGTCAGTGCTGCGATCACTGACCTGGCGACATCCATATCCTGCAATCAAACCACATAGAAGTCGTGAATCTGTTTGTTGTACAGAAGTGGTGTGCCTTCTAGTGCACTGAGGACTGGTTAGCTAGAGTTATAGAAAACATTGCCAGCTACATGACAACTAAATAAACTTACTTCTATTTATATCTATTTCTTGTTTCTAATAGCTTCTTGTTACTAGTAGTACGGCCAGGAGCCCCTAGTAGCGTCCTTGTTCCTGTAGCGATGCCAGGAGCCCCTAGTAGCGTCCTTGCTCCTAGTAGCGATGCCAGGAGCCCCTAGTAGCGTCCTTGCTCCTAGTAGCGATGCCAGGAGCCCCTAGTAGCGATGCCATTTGCTCCTAGTTGCTTCTTTTGGCCTGGCAGGTTGAAATCAACTTTCGGACGCAAGAACCCCATCCGCGCTCGACCCGCCTGTTTTGCCCCTCACAGTACAGCTGCTGCACACGGTGGGCCAAACGTAGGTCCTGACCGTTGTGGATGAGGCACTCTCCGTCTGTGCGGAACTCCCTGGGATTGGTTTCTGGGATCTGGGTAGAACAAAACCATCTGGTCAAATATTTCACCTTCGATTTCGCGCACACTCACTTATTATACCTGGTCAATTTTTTAAGTTTGCACCTGGAATTTCAATATTTGTTTCCTTCGACTTGAAGAGTCTAAACCAATCATGTCCAGATGAATGCAGTCTCGCACACGACCAACAAAATTGCGTACCCTCTGACTCACCTACCATACGAACCCACCCTATATTAGACCCTATATAGGGACCTTGTTTGTTTAAAAATTGTCTTCGTGGCGACGTGCAACTTCTTCTTGAACGCCTTTGCCATAGCATCCCCTCACTCGTTGTTTTGCATCAAATGCATCCAAAAGGGCGCGTCATGAAACCCAGCCGCTCTGTCGCTCCGCCGCGCGAGTTCGGCCTTCTGTTGGGCTTTCGCCATGGCCCAAAGGCACAACGACAGATCCTCGACGCATTGAGAAACTGCACATCTACAAAGGTCTGGGAAACCAAGCGGTAGCACGGTAGAGAAAAATATGCAAAAACTGAATGCATTAGATTACACACTGACCTTTGGCCTTTGCTTAGGCGGGGTTGCAACATATATGTGTATGAAAATATGAAAATTATATATTATATATATATAGTACTTTTATTAGTATATTATAATATATCCGCCGACCGGGGGAGGGCCTCAGAGGACACCACCCTGGGATGCATAAGGGGTTTATTTGGTGTGATGGGGCCCGAGTTACAGGTCGCTCAGAAGGCTTCTAAAAGCTCAGAAGGCTTCTAAAATTCTGTCAAACAACAATCTTCAGTCGTGGCTTCGGTCAAACAGTGTGACGCGCTCAAGTTTCATGCACCACACCCATACAATCTCCACAATGAACCTAGACGGTTGAACTGCCGCTAAAACTAGATGCAAAGAATCTGTGTCGTCATAGCACCACACGGCGCCCGGATCATCATGACTCCAACCGCACTGAACATGAACCCCAAACAATGCCAGCTTCCCTCCACGCACATATGTTTCAGGCGCCTTGTGGCCAAACATCATGATTTGTGACTTGAATGGCAGCCCCCGCTGCATCTGAAAGAGTGCAGCGACTCATCACCACTCCACTCCAGTGCATGTCGCCAGAATCCAACGCCCAACATACATCGGTAAATCATGTCACCAAGAGCTCCACCGGTGGCGTAATGGTCACTTCAACGTGCCCTTCGATCTTTAACATATAGTCGTCTTGGATGGGGTATGTAGCCTGTGCTGTCTTATCTTTGCTATACACATCTATACACGATATGAGAAGATAAGACATGTGTTACATTTAGTTCTATGGTGAAATTCTGACTGAGTCACTGAGCGAGTCTTGAATGAAGGATCAGGATCAGCGTCTCGTTTTGGGAAAAACCTGATGCTTGCCGGTACAGTTGAATAGCCTGTATTGATAAGAAATGAGAGCGCTTTTGGCAAAAGAAGGTTTCCACACTTGAACATCGCAAAGCTTTGGATATAAAACTTAATCCTTGTGACAACGATTGTGAACTTGACTCTTCCCACCGTTTCGGGCCGCTTTTGCGTGCAGGTTTCAGATGAGCTATGGGCTAAGAATCTTGAATTTTTGTCTGAACAACCACAATTGGCTGTTGGAATCAAAAGGGGGTCGGCAGCACCAGGGTGTCAGCCCGTTCTATCTATCTTTTATCTAATTCCTGGGAACACGATGTCCTCCTGCGATGTTGTATCACCAGTCTCCATGTCTTCAAACATGATCGATACTGAGCTGCGCCGCGGACATGCCCCCCAACAAACACATCCGCAGAATCTCAGGTGAAGGACCGGAACATCACATCAACTAACCCAGACACTCCATGTCTGTCATATATGCCGATCAATTGGGGTGGTTTCGTGGGTCAATTGATATGCGCATATATATGGCAGTCCCAAACGGGTCGTGTCTGGGGATGTAGGAACTCATCACTTGATCGAGGAACTCATCACCGTCCGGGTCCCCCATACGGGTGGCCCGACGCGGTGGCTGTAGCCAACGATGTCACGCCTCGCGACGGAGGTGGATCCGAAGGATCCGACGTGATGATCTGCGGTGAACGGCGGGACATAGGTCGGGGGGTCATATACAACAGGAGCGTATGTCATAATAGAAACCATGTGACCTCCTCTTTGAGAAAAGAATAGACAATAAGAAAAGGCCATGTTTGGGATAGATCCTCCAAAAAAGGGGGTCACTCACACTCTGGTTCTAGATGTTCTAGGAATGTACATCTGATTCTACAGCAGCAAACAGTCCAAAATGTCCAAAGAACAGTCTTTTTTGAATACATGTATTTTCCATGGTGCAATCATTGTAGCTAAAGACAATACTTCAGATATTGTTCTGGTCCATTGTGCAGCTTGCAGTGCTTTGGAGAGTACTATGTAGGTGCTTGATTGGTGCAGTCCCGAAACCACCAGCTGGGGTGGTGGAAAATAAACTCAGCTACTCGTGACTAGTAACTAGTAGTTTCTTGTTATGTCCGTAGCGATGGCCTCCAACCTACATGCGATGGCCCCCACCTAATAGCTTCTAGCTACTTTCATCCAGAATGATGCCCTTGTATGCCCTTGTTACTTCACGGCCTCCCTTACCCTCCAAAAGTCTCTCCCAACTGCCTGACACGGGCCCAAGTAGATGCCAAGTACCACCGTAGTTCATGCAGGACTATGACTATAGATCCACTCACAGATCTCACATATTGAACAATATTCTACAATCCCAGATTCGCTCCATCTGAGGGCGCCGACACGATCTCTGGAACCACTTCGTTGAAGAGAGGCCCCTCCCGGAGTTGCAACCTCCGACCGTCAGCGGTTGTCGACGTTTACCATGCATGGCAGGGGGCGATAGTCTGCGTCGGGCGACTGCGTGGGCGTCGGCGTCGATAGTTGGCGACGGCGTGACACGCTTAAAAACGACACCAGGAGTCACAAAGGGGTTGCTTTTAGTACCTTAAGTGAGTGGATGTCCTCGGCACACCTATCCTCCAAGTTAGGCACCCCTTCGTGACTGGCGAAACAATCCGAAACATAATTTGCACTTGCTTTGACCCCTCACGATCCCCTGAACAAATCATCCATAGAGCAGTCTAAGAGTCTAAGACGCTTGTCGCGAAAGCACCCACGCCAGCTGCGGAAAGGCCGCCTGGCGAGGCTCATCAGTGCAGAGCTCAACTGCTTCGGGGCCATGCTGTTGCGCTGAATGCTGAAGGCCTGGCATGGCGGTGGCCGGCGCCAGCCGTTTATTTGGCGCTGTCGCGGTCCACCGCAGGGCAGCACGATTGGTGATGGAAATCCGCCGGCGCCTGCAACGGCACCGTAGACACACTCTGACATTGGTATTCAGTTAACTCAGTTACCACGATGGGAAGGATGGCGAAGAACCGCAAGGTGAAAGAGTCAGCTGAAACAGTATGGTTGAACATGGTTTCCACAGGTGCAAGTCTGCAGAACGATCTGTCGGCGCTGCTCAGCGGCAAGTGGCAAAAAGAAAAAAGGTTTGAGGGGTA